TATACGCAATTTAGTTCCGAAAAAAATTAGGTTTCATTTCCAATGTGTAACAATCGCGGAAAATCTAAGAATTCAATAAGCTTTAGGTACATGTTTGTCTTAATTTTAACAATTTTGACAATGGGCCTTCTAGATTCGTAGTATGTATAGTAGAAGTGGCTACTTGCCATAACACTTCATTAAACCACCAATTTATTACATTTTACAGTTACAAGATGATGTACAATGAAGACATAGCATCAATACCAGTCAAAAAACTTCTTTTCCCCAGCTGCCTCGTTGCAATTTGGTGTACAAACGCTCCAAGTAATATAGCGGCTGTAAAAGATCTTATATTTCCCAAGTGGGGTGTAGAATACATTACAACCTGGTACTGGTTGAAAGTTAATATAGATTTACAACCATTGTGCGACTTTGGGTATGGTTGTAAGAAACAGCCTTATGAAAGACTTATCTTGGGTAAAATTGGTAATATTATGAATGTTCCTGAAAACCACTTGGTCGTTAGTATCCCAAGTGCTTTACATTCACATAAACCTCCTTTGTTGGGTATGTTTTTGTTTCATTCTTTTTATTTATTTTGGCTAGTTAATGGGTATTATTCGGGCTACTTTAGCCCTAAATCGGAAAGATCTTTCTGTCTGTCTGACTTTATCATATGGCTACTGGCGACTATTCTAATTTTTTTAGGAAGTCCAAAAAACCTTTTAGAAATGTTTGTTCTTCTCTATCATCAGTGGCGGATTTGCAGTCTTGTCCGCCCTAGGCCCCAGGCCATGTAGTCAGTTCCAGCCGCCACTTTCTCAGCACTCATCCTATAATGGTAGACTACACAATAAATTTACTTTATTGCCAACTTTTGTCGAAATCGATTCAGAAATTAAGTTAAATGTAATAGCTGCACTCTGTCTACTGTGGTGTGGTGGAAACCGCATGAAAATATGTTCAGTAGTTTTTGAGCTTAACGCAATTAGACAGACATACAGACGCGGTAGTGATAATACGTGGGGCGCACTACAAGTTTCCGGAATGAATAAGAAAAAAATAATATAAATGGTTAGAAATTAATTTATTGTTTCTCAAAATATTCTCCGTTAGCGTTAATGCACTTTTTCATACGAATGAACCAATTTTGAAAACATTTATGCCACTACTCCGTGACAATCTCTGAAACATATTTTTCATACTCTTCGACAGCTACTTCAGGTGATGAAAATCGTTGACCGCGTAACTGGTTCTTAATTTTTGGAAATAAATAAAAGTCACAAGGTGCCAGGTCGGGACTGTACGCGGGATGACTCATAAGGTCAACGTTGTTTACCTTCAAATATTCATTTGTCAGTCTGCCCGTGTGAGAACTGGCATTATTGTGGTGCAAGATGATACGGCGTAAAACGTAAACGGTTATTTTTACGGAGTTAGTCAATAACTTCCGGCAAACAAATGGTCGCGTACCAATCACTATTCACGGTTCAACGATTCTCCAAAGCAACAGTAGCCACATGTCAATTTTTATTAAAACAAGGAGCAATCATCCGCTTAGAGGCACTTGGTTTCGGCTCATCTCGAAAGACCCATACACTCGATTGCTGCTTTGTTTTGGGATCGTAACTATGAATCCTTGTTTCGTCACCTGTTGCTATGTCCCACACCAAATTTGACGTCCTTTCGTTGAATCTGTAAGCATGGCATTGCACCAAGTGACACGATCCGTTTTTTGAGCCTCAGTCAAATTGTGTGGGATCCACCGAGAGCACAGCTTTTTCACACCCAAATGTTTGTGTAATATTGATTGTATTTGACTCATGCCTATGCCTAAAGATTCCCGAATCGCATGGTATGTCACATACCTGTCTATTTTGATCATGCGGCGCACAGCATCGATGTTTTTGTTGTTCACAGCGGTGGACGGGCGACCATCACGAAATTCGTCACTGAGATTCACACGACCGCGTTTGAATTCTGCAAATCAGCTATAAATAGTAGTTTTGCATGGTGCTTCATCACCAAAAGCAGTTTGAAGCCGAGCGAAGCTCCGCTGAGCTGTTACATTACACTTACACTCGTAGAAAATCATACTACGAAAATTTTCACTAGTTAAATCCATGGTGATGTATAATTTTAGACAACTAATTTCTAAAATGACGCCACAATGTAAAAACAAGTCAGATGAAACAAACTGTATTCTACAGCCAAAGAGTGTCATTTTCAAATGTTGTAATTACTACTAATTACACGCAAGCCTATTAAGTAAACTTCCCTCTTACGGGCTTCCCACTGACCTTTGCTGTTGGATCTCGGATTTCTCGAGTGAACGTTCGATTCGAGTGGTCTTAGAAGGCTACTCTTCCGAACATATGGCGATAGATAGCCGGAGTTCCTAAGGGTTCCGTACTGTCTGCAACTCTCTTTCTGCTGCATATCAATGATATGTTAATTCCAGGTACCTTTGCGTATGCTGATGACAGCACAGTTGTAGATAGGTATTTGACCAATGCGAGGGTCAGTGGAGAGGAAATATAGTCTTGTCTCTCGACTTAAACATGGACTCTCGTCCATGGTTAACCGTTTGGATTTGGCGCTCAAGGCAGTCTCCGATTGGGGCCACTTTGGATTCAATTGCCAACCGTGCCAAGAGGCTTATAGGTGCCTCGGAATTAGTGGAGGAGAAGCTGCAGAGCCTAGAACACCGCCGTAAATTTGCCTGCTTATCGGTATTTTATAGGATATATCACGGAGAGTGTGTGATCGAATTACACGATTTAATTCCCCCTTCCCCTTTCCATCGCCGGGGGATTAGGCGTAGGCTTGTTTCCACCCCTATGTTGTGGATATTTCAAAGATTCGCACGAAGCGTTATGCTTCCACATCCTATATGGCGAACGGATATGGAGTGGAATTCCCTGCCTGCAGACTTGTTCTCTGAGCGTTATAACTTGGGCCTTCTCAAGGCGAGAGTGAATAGACATTATCTAGGTGTGTATGCTCCATCGTCGACTTCATCATCACTTTCCATCAGGTGAGATGGAGGTCAAATGCACACTTATCACTATCTATAAAAACTTTAGGTACCTACTTTGAGTTATTTCTTGTTGTCATCAGGGATTTTTTTGTCACGGTTGGCTGTCCCTAAAATCTGGCCGCACTAGGCCTGGGCCTACTGGGACTTAAGGTAAATCCGCCACTACCTATCTATCATAATTCTTATACGTGGTTACCATTTAAACAATGAAGTAGTCGTATCTGTGTTAACTAGCCAAAACAATTTTTTCATGCTAAATATGGTATTAATACAATTAGAACATTTGTAGATTGTTTTTTATTCCTAACTTCTTTGTATCTGTTTTAGTTCTCTTTTAAATTACAGACCTTCTAAAACCCTTCGTGGCTGCAAAAGACCCTCAAGTCCTAGAACTCTTCGCGAGATATCTCTTACCTAACACAACCAGCGTGGGATTCGAACCGCTTAAATGGCAACATGTGTCTTTATACGACAAAGTTAGCTGACGAATAAATGCCTGTGTAAAATAGATGAGTTAAAATTGTATTTTAAAATTTCAATTAATTCTAAGTTTTGAAGTCGCTGATTTTAAAATCAGATAGTTAATAATTTAAAGAACCATTATTAAATATATATTTTCTCTTGTGTAATAAAAGTCGGTCATGTTTTTATATAAGTGTAATATAAAGTTACAGTCATGTTTCAACTGGCCATCATATTAATTATAAAGAACAATTTTAGTAAAATCTATCCTGAGTAGAGTTTCAGAGAATACACTTATTTTCTATTGTAGTCCACATGAACGACAATAGAAAATGACTGTATTTTTCACATTTCTGCCGTCCACTATGTAAACCGCGGCTAAGTTACAAATTAATTTTTTGAGATATCTTAAAAAACCATAACCCAGTTTTAAAATATTGAAATTGTTCGATGGTATTTCAGCTATGCATCGTTAGTAAGTTCCGATTAGTCGAACGCGTTAACTTATTTTAACTGTTTTTAAAAGAGAATTTTGTAATCTATTTTTTGCTATTTAAAACGGTTATTTGACCATTTGTCACTTAGTCGCGTTTTAGTTAATGGACGGCAGATTTAAGGACAGAACACACTATGGGACATTCCCATAGTGTGCTCTGTCCTTAAATTTTTATATACACAATTAGTACAATAAATAAAATGATGGTTTATATAAATAATGTAATATAGTAATTATTGTAAAGTAAAACAAAGCATTAGCTCGTCCCATTCATGATGACGCTGCTCTTGACGTTTTTCTTGGGGTAGCCATTAGGATTCATAGTTTGCCATCTCCAGAAATCGGTGCCTGCAAAAACCATGACTTAATTTGTACTTGACCAATGTTACTATACAAACACGGCGTTTTAAAATGTCGACACATTTTTTATAATTGATTTAAAAAAATGATTGTTAATTTTATGTTTGAGGCTTTAAAAGCAGTAGTTTTATTTTGAACTTGTCTCTCCCAGATTCACTCCGCAAAATAGAGACCTCAAATACGCGATCATCTCATTGAATTTATTATAGGAACAGATTATTTTCATGTTAAACTTTTTTTTACTCTTTATTTATTTAGGGGATTTGATAAACTTACACATCTCCTCAATGCTATAACGCGCGCACCATCCAAGTTCTTCCTTAGCCAGCGAAGCGTCAGCCCACATTGCCGTAATGTCTCCCAGTCGTCTATCGACATATTTCAGTGGTATCTTGGTACCGGTTACTCGTTCAAACACTGTCACTAGCTCCTTTACAGAAACGCCTTTGCCGGTACCAAGATTGTATACCTACAATAAACGATGATAGATACAATGATAGATAACATACCTAAGTGAAATTATTATTGACACAAAGATTGAACAAACACAAGGAAAAATGATTTCGATCCGATTGTACTCTAACCAGCGTCTGTCACCTCACCGTGGCTAACCTCTCACTAACAATAACAAACCAGTAGAGTATTTTCACGAATATATATTTTTTTTATAAAAAATAAGAGCGCATTTGACCTTCATCTCACCTTATGGAAAGTGATGATGAGGTCGACGATGTAGCATGCAAACCTTAATAATGCCTATTCACTCTCGCCTTCAAAAGGTCCAAGTTCGGGGAACAAGTCCGCAAGTAGGGAATTCCACTCTCTAGTCGCTCGCCATATAAATGTGGAAGCATAACGTTTCGTGCGAATTCTGGGAATATCCACAACATAGGGGTGGAATCCCAGCCCACGTCTAGTCCCCCGATGATGGAAAGGGGAAGGCCGAATCAAATTATGCAATTCCATCGCTAACTCCGTGATATATCCTGTAGGATACCGATAAGCAGGCAACTTTACGACAGTGTTCGAGGCTCTGCAGTTTCGCCTCTACTAATTTCGAGTTACCTATAAGTCTCTTGGCACGCTTCTCGATTTAATTCAAGGTGGCCAGTTGGTATTTAGCAGAGCCATCCCATAAGTGGCAGCAGTACTCCATAGACGACTCCAAGTAGCTGGAGACGGTCGGCTATTGGTATGGATACATCACGAAAAGTCAGAGTCAGGTGAAAGACTCCGTTTTGTGGCGAATAGACACGCCTGCGTTTTGGTAGCAAGAAATTTGACAAGATTGGTATCGCCGCAATCGGAGACAAGTGTCAAATTCAAACGACTAACCATGGACTCTCGACAAGATTGGATTTCTTCTCCACTGACCCTTGCATTGGTCAAGTATCTGTCCACAACTGTGCTGTCATCAGCATACCCAAAGGCTCCGGGAATAAACATATCATTGATATGCAGCAGAAAGAGAGTTGCGGACAGTATGGAACGGATCTGAAGAGTAGCCTTCTAAGACCACTCGAATCGAACGAATTCACTCAAGAAATCCGAAATCCAGTTGCAAATTTCAGTGTGAAGCCCATAAGAGGGAAGGTTGCTTAAAAGGCTTGCGTGTCAGACCCTGTCAAAGGCTTTAGAAATATCTAGAGACACTGCAAGGGCTTCGCCATGTCTTCTATAGCCTCGCTCCATAGATGAGTGTCGTACACAAGAAGATCCCAGTAGATCGCCCTCGTCGGAATCCGTACTAGCGATCACTGAGGAAGTCGTTGTCTTCAAGGTACGACAGAAGACTGTTATTAAGTATATGTTCCATAGTCTTGCAGAGTATGAAAGTGACTGAAATAGGTCGATAGTTGACAGGGTCAGCTCTGCTTCCTTTTTTGGGTACAGGTTGCACGTTTGCAAGCTTCCACGACCTGGTCACACTACACTATACTACACCGTCTCAAGCGAGAGGTGTTACAAGATATATGTAATATGCGATAAATGAATATCATGTGAAAACATTATATTCAATAAAAATAAATATTGCAATAATATAGTGACATCTCTGACAGGCTTCTGGTAGCTGTAAAGGTACCTGGCTGAGTGCAGTATTGGGCAAAATTTAATTGTTCAGGGAATTAAAGATTGACAATTAATTAATTGTCAATCGCGAAACAACAATTAACGATTGATTAATTTTTAAATGCTGTTCTCGCAACTAACGATTAATTAATTGTTAATTGCTGTTCTCGCAACTAACTATTAATCAATTGTTAATCCCGTATATCTACAATTAACAATTGATCAATTTTCAATCTTTGCAATGTTTTTGATTAACAATTAAAACTGACAATTATGATAAATTTATAGGGCGAGTGAATGAGTGAGTGGGGAGTGAGTTGGGAGTGAATGAGGAATGAGGGGGTGTGAGTGGGGGAGTTAGTGGGGTGTGAGTGACGAGTTAGTGAGTAAGTGAGTACCTCCATTGCCGAATATAGAATGGGCAATATAGTATTTGGGGTTCTCTCGTAACGAATATGGCACTCATTTCTAAATCCAAGATGGCGTGCACGATTTTTCAAATAATTGGGAGTGGGGAGTGAGAAGTGAGTGGGGAGTGAGTTGGGAGTACGTAGGGAGTGAGAGGAGAGAGAGTGGGGAGTGAGTGGGGAGCCATCTTGGTTTTAGAAATAAATTCTATATTCGTAATTAGCACCCCCAAATATCTCGAAAACGATACCCAACTTGCCATTATTTGAAAAGTAGTGCCCGCCATCCTGGATTTAGAAAGGCGTGCCATATTCGTTGCGAGAGCACCCCAAATACTATATTGTTCATGCTATATTCGAACACCGAAGCACTCACTAACTCAATCACTCCTCGCTCACTCCCCACTCACTACCCATTCACTCCCCACTCAATTCCCACTCCCCACTTAGTCCCCATTCAGTCCCTACTCACTCCCCGCTCAATTCCCGCTCACTCCCCACCGACTCCCCACTCATTCCCCACTTCCCACTCATTCCCCATTATTTGAAAAATCGTGCCAGCCATTTCTATTTACAAATGAGTGCCATATTCGTAATGACACTTTTATTCAGTAGTTTCGGTTTTAATTGTTAGTTTCATTTGTTTCTAAGGTCAATTAAAAAAAAATTCAATTAATTTAATTGCAATTAAAATCAATTCAATTAAAATCAATTGCAATCAAAATTAATTGCAATTAAAATCAATTGCGAGGAATTGCAATTCATTTTTTACTCAGTTAAATTTCTGATTGAAATTTAATTGATTAACGCCCAACACTGGCTGAGTGAAGAAAGTTGGTGTGTTCTCACAGATGGCGCTAAGGCAAAAAAAGGCGTAACCATTAAAAATTAAAAACAAAATTAAATTACATTTGTTCGATCTTTTTATCAATAACAATGTATTGGAGAATTTACACAAAAAATAGATGAATATCATGGTAGTAAAACATCATGATATTCAATAAAAATAAATACAGCATTAGTGAATATTTTCTGTGGAATGATTCTGAAGAATCTTGGTCCTCAGATAGAAGACATTAGCTTCACTTTACTTAATTGATTATGTAGTCTAAGATACGTATTGAATGACGCCATGGCGGAGAGATCTAAATCCGTGCCGATGAGGTCTAAATTGAAATTAATGGCACCGAGAAAGAAAAATAAAACTTATGGTAAGTAGGTAATAAACGAACAATTTACCTTCAGCCCAATATGGTTATCATTGAGAAGGTTTAAAGCTGCCACGTGTCCGCTGGCGAGGTCCATAACGTGAATATAATCTCGGATTCCTGCCAAGAATCACAACTTATTATAGTATGTCGATGTTTAATCTTTACGACTTACGGTCTGCCTAGAGCTAGGGAATTAGGGATGAGGGTCCAATTGACCTACATTATGTATAGTACTTTTGAGTTTACGTCGTGGATGAACTCCTATAAGATTTGTTATTTCTGAGATGTGCACAGATCTGGCGAATGGGCCTATTTGCGAACGGCTCGCAAGCTATTTAGGCATGCTTGCTTGCCTTGCGTGAGATGATAACAGAGGCGCTCTTGACTGCACGCGTGCAGCACATTCGCCTGATTTGTATACGCTCTAAGGTTCAATTTAAATTGCTAGGGACCGGAATTAAAGCGGAATTTTTATAACGATATTGAAGAATCTTCCACGGAATGCGCGAGCATTCTCGAGAAATCCGCGGAAAATTTTAGGTCGTATCTAGTTTGTACGTTACTCAATTGACCATAAAGTTCAATATTCTATGTACAATATCGTTACAAAAATTCGCTTCTATTCCGTTCCGCCGCAATATAAATTGAGCCTATGGGCAGTAGTAGTAGTAACTTTGACGAAAATTATCGACCGCTCTAATCGTATTTGTCTGTTGCCTGATGTAAAGTAGGCACTGTTGACTCGGATTTGTGCTGACTGATGAGTTCAGAAGAGTAAAACACATAACTTACCAGTCCCATCTGGTGTGTTATAGTCGTTGCCAAACACAGTAAGTACAGGCTTCTTGCCTAAAGCGACCTGTGCCATGAAAGGCATCAAATTTGTGAACTCCTTGGTTGGATCCTCGCCGATCAGTCCTGATGGGTGCGCGCCCACTGGATTGAAGTAGCGGAGAGATATTATGTTCCAGTTCTGTAACGTGCAATAAAGGAATTATATTATTCTTTTTATCTTTATTGAAATTAGAGGTTTGAGTTTGCTAAATGATTATTTAAATAACGCGGAGTCCAATCCGTCGATTGGACTCCGCGTTATCAGCAAACTCTACAACTGAGTGCTGTACAGGTCAAAAAAAGATAGTTATGTAAAATTGTATTGTGTACACTACTTTTCATATTATACAATAATGATTTGATGATATTTCTTACGTCTTATAAGAAAAAGCAAGGAAAAAGCTAACGGCCTTGAACTTTTGCTAATTACTCTAAGGGTCGTATTCTAGAACTATTCAATGCTCAAGTCAAGATTACAGCTGAAACACAAGCACTGGAAATACGACTCTAATGGCAGGGACTTGAATAGGATTAAGATTGCTTTAAACCATAGTCAAATCCTGACTTATTTACGACACTTAGGGTCGTATTCTAGAACTCTACTCAATGCTCAAGTCAGGACTTGAGTATTGCAGTGAGCACTGAAAATCATACTCAAGTCCTTGCCATTAGGGTCGCATTTCCAATGCTTGAAATCATACTCAAGTCTGCACAAATCCTGACTTGAGCATTGAGTACAGTTCTGGAATACGACCCTTAGGGTCGTATTCCAGAACTCTACTCAATGCTCAAGTCAGGATTTGAGTATGGTTTAAAGCACTCGAAATCATACTCAAGTCCCTGCCATTTGGGTCGTATTTCCAGTGCTTGAAATCGTACACAGATCCTGACTTGAGCATTGAGTAGAGTTCTGGAATACGAACCTAAGATTCCGTTCAAATATACCTAATCAAGATCACGGTTTGGAGTTAGAGACTCGATGTCCTGGAACTTGTAGTTAAAAGAAATGAATAATGGTCAAAATTGTCCATATCACAGTGTACTACAGACGCTTTTTTTCGGACTTCGGTTTTTTATTCTCCACAGAAGAAATTATTTAAAACGTTAGACTCAATTTATATTGCGGCAGAACGGAATGAAAGTGAATTTTTGTAACGATATTCTACATTGCATAATGAACTTTACGGAAATTGTGTAACGTACAAACTAGATACGAGCCAAAGCCGGAATGTTCGAGCATTCTCGAGCATGCGCGAGAATTCAGCGGAAGATTTTGGCTCGTATCTAGTTTGTATACGTTACACAATTGATCATAAAGTTCACAATGCAATGTATAATATCCCACCCTTCATGGAAGAATGGCATAATTGGAGTTACGTCAAAAAAGTTTATTGCACCATTAGATACAGAAAAATATAACTCATATCCTCTCCAATTCTTGTAACTAAAATATTGCTTGAATATATGAATAATTATAACGTCGAGATCTTATCGAGAAATGATCATATGTGGTCTAAATCAGAGGTCTCCAAACTGTTATTTCTAGTAGATCACGTCAATTTTTGCCGTTTTGTGTAGGGTCAGGGCCTTTCTAATATGGATTTTTTTACAAATTTATCGACTTCAAATGTGTTTCTGATAGCTGACACAGCGCTACACACTTTGATAAGTTTAACTGTATAGTGAGAATTTAAAAAAAAAACACATTTTATGCATTTATTTAACCCAGCTATACTCAATCTTTTTTTCCTTCGGGCCACATACTCAAGTTTGCGACATTGGCCACAACCTTTTTGGGTTGACCTTTTAAATTAGTTAGTGGCGAACCTGGTTTTACATTTACTGCCCATGTAATAATAAAACGCAAAATCTAAATGCTTTTCGCTCAAGATTTTAAAAACTTAAATCCCATAATTTTCAAAAGCGCCTTTCTAATATTAGAGTTTCGGGCCACACTTAGGTAAGTATAAACGGTTGTCCCGAATTTTAAATCAAATAATGTGTGAAAATTGGGAAAGTTATAATCAGTGCAATGTGGATTATTCTATTAATGGAAAGCCAAAATTTTGGCCACGAGACCTGCCTAAATCGATCCAACTTTCGTGCATTTCGTGGACCCCTATTAACGTCTCATGCACGCCCAATTTTTTCTTTTCCCTGACATGGATTTCTTGTAGTTTTGAGTGGACACCATTGGTGTAAATACAGACCCTCAATGACTTTAAGTACCTATATAAGACCATTGGTGACCCTGATAAAGATGCGGTCGCATACTTACGGCTCTGAATATTGTTTTTGAATACAGAAAATTCTTTTATCTGGCACTTAAATAATTGAAAACTACTAACGTCTTAATTTAAATTTGAATAGTAATGACCTTGAATATTGATTCGATCTCAAGAAAATTATTTCAACAAATATCTACCTATTAAAATAAGACTTAAACACATTTACGTAATAAACGTTAATAAACGTTACATGAAAATGTCTGGATATGCCTCATGAAAACGTAAGTGACAAGTATTGTTGGTAATGTTTTTATATTCAGTCACAGTCATGTATGAGTAATATGAAACTCTGTGCAATTGTTCCAGTCAGTCTCTTACAATCGGTTGTATTATCGTAATGTATTCATGTAATTTTGTGGATAATGTATAGGCAGTGTTGCCAAGGTTCTTCCGTCGAAGACTACGTGTCGTCACTTGAACAGTTACATTTTTGCTTGAAAGTAACATTTATTTAAATCAATAAGTATGTATAAACGGTTCTATACTCATACTACGTACTAGTCACGAGGTGTAGAGCACCTTGTTAAGCTTAATGTTATGTTGCTGGAATCTTTACTCACCTACCAAAAATCAAGCTACGAACGCTATTGGTATGCTCGAGAAAAATCTAACTCGGCTAGTGATTGGTAGATTTCATATTGTTTAAGTCATCTCTAAGTATATAATTTTATTGCCTGACAGGTGTGCGTTTGTAAATTGTTTAGGATTTACAATAGCAAATATACCTATAGTTAAATTTTAAAATCTCATCGTTCTCAAAAGTTACGAAAATAGCATTAAAAACAATGGTTAGATACATATTTCGCGAGAGTATCAAAAATTACGAAAAATGTAAGAAATGTAACCACCTGGCAACACTGTTTATAGGCGCCATATCGGCGAAAAATTTACATCTTTGGTCGTTCATACAAGACAAAAATACGTTAAAGTATATTCAGTAGGCATGATTAATCAATTTTAACTAAGCAACTATATTCACTCACTTTATCAGCAGTGTTAAGATCTTTGAGCATCTCTTCAATAAAGTACTTGGTTCGTCCATAAACATTGGTGATGCTGCCAGTTGGATGCGTCTCTGTGATTGGCAGTGTCTCCGGCTCTCCATACACAGTGCATGATGAGGAAAATACCATTTGATAGCAGCTGTGAGAACGCATAACCTGAAAGATAATACAGGAAAATGAGATAACTATTCAAAACATCCAGAAAACCTTGATATATGAAATATTTTTGTCAACGCAACGTAGTTTAAATACGTAAACTTTACTTCACAGTTAAAATTACCTAATAATTTCAAATTTTCCGTCCTAATATCTGGTGTACCACAAGGCAAGCCTTAACTCAATTTTTTTGTTGTTACATTAATTATTTACTTATATCTTTTTTATTTACCTCTAGTAAATTAAGCATTCCAAGTAGATTGTTCTGGTAATAAAGCAAAGGCTGCTGCATAGATTCTCCCACTGCTTTCAACGCCGCGAAGTGGATCACACAGTCGATCTCATGCTGCAATAAGGTGTGATGTCATGATGATTTATGATATGATGACTAAAACATAAGTTTTAGTCATCATATCATAAATCATCGTAGAAATCGTAGTATTATGAGAATGTAGTTTCAGTGTTTTTAATTATGGTGTTTAATTCAGTACAATAATTAACCACTCAAACAAATATTTATCTGCTTAATCTAAGAATTATTGAAACCTATGCTTTTCTTTTCGTGTCTTTATATTTATTTTCCTAAACTTTATTATCATATGGTTGAAATATTGCGTCGCATCTTTTGGATACATTCAGTGTAACTTACTCCTCACAATACTTTATCACTAGTTTCCTCTTTTTTGTTACTACTTACCATTACTCAAGCATATTTTTTTTCAGACTAGGATTTTTTTGTGTGTATAAAAGGTTTGTACCTAGTTTGTGTAAAAGGTATCTTTGGATCATCGAGTATATAATCAGAAATAGAGACGAAATGTCATTTAATTTGTTTGAAAACTATTCCGCCATATCATTACGGTGACAACTGCGCTCCGATTGGCCAGCCCGAATTCGAAACAATTGACGGGTGTCGTCAATTGTTTCACTTCAAATTGACCAGTTTAACTTGAGCTTTGCTATAATGGATGAAAATTGAAAAATTAAAATTTAATTACCCATGAAATGTGATTCTGTTCGTTTTGTAATTAGATGTTTTTCTGTGTTTCCCACACCATCGAATGGAACAGCTCCCCGTAGTTTGATCTATTATCTTTATTACAATAAATACAGGATATTTTTGGAATATACGGAGACATACACACAGGTCAGTTGTTGGCGCTGCACTATTTCAGCTTTCTAATTGGTGATTTCAGTGCAAACGAGAGTTGATACTCAAAAATCATATAAGGCCCCTATTTCGTTCTGGTTACGTGCTCGATGCTTTACATATATCATTACTATATGATCGCTCCAAAGAGTTTTATCGATTAATTTCGTTGATTGTAAATTCTGAATTTTAGATTAAATTAAATACTTTTTAAGTACGACCTCCATTTATCACCTTATCAAAAATTTCATTTATCTGCGGCTTGTCCAGTAAATCTGCTTTGTAAAACGTGATCTTCTTTCCCGTTATTTCCTCTGCTTTCCGCAACGCTGGAGACCCTTCGTCATCCCCCACAGCATTCGCGAAGTTATCTATAGCGATGACATCGTAGCCTTCGTTTACAAGATCTATTACACAGTGGCTGCCAATGTACCCCGCACCGCCCGTTACCAGGATTGTCTTGAATTTCGGCATTTTTTACTACCGTTCTGTAGAAGATAAAATTTGCTTATTTAGTTTATAACAAAAAATGTTGGCAAAATACGTGATAATAAAAGTTGTATGTGGCTTTAGGTCATATCTACACACATAAGTCTCATGTTATCTAATAAAAGGGTTACCTACTGTTCACGTTCACGTGACAAGAACAGACAATCTGACCAGGCATAAATTACCACGTGACGATAATAGACTACTCTGCAGTGCACTGAACGAATAGCAATGTGCAAGACTGTAAATAGAATTTGTGTAAATAGTCTAGTTTTTAGAAATAAAGATCTCTTTGAATCCAGACATCAACGCTGTCTCATTGACGACGACGAAACTCTCCTGACTACAGCATCCTCTCAATGCGGCCAAGACCCCTTTAGTCGTCAGCTTATCTGATCAGTCTTGTGAGTCTGTGAGACTGGCAATGAGAAAATCCACTCCTTGCACCCTTTATCCTTCCCACCTTCCGTCTGTTACCTTAGGTCATATGGTAACAGGCTTCCTCTACCAATCTATATACGTATATATAGTATATATAGTAGTGTATGGTTAGGGCTAGGCTGTTAGGTAGGAACGTAGGGTTGTCTGTGATAGGTTACCATTTTATGTATAGCCTTAATGTATAGCTTTAATTACACATACAAGACGATACTCAATAGTAACACTCATATCACACCCAACAAATACTACACAAAGACAGAGATAAAGTTAGTTGGCTCTAAACCTACCATATCAGAAGCTAGAAACATGGTTTTTAGAATTTTGTTTCTCGGAAAACCTTTCGGCTTTTATTGAACAGATTTTGTTTGGTTTGTCCGAAAACACGTGAAGATTTTTTTCATTATACCACATAGCTATATTCGTCCTCCTCTGATTCTCATTTCCCCAGGATTCCGTTTGCCTAATGTGCACCTACCTACCGAATTGAACATATTTTATTTTTGTACGTATAATCTACGTACAAAAATACATACATATGTATAATCTATTCGCATGTATAATCTATATTTCGTTTTATATTTTGTTTTAACTCGCATTTAATTTAAATAAACGATAAATAAAACTTATTACTTGTAGCTACATTTAAAGTTGTTATTAGAACATTCCAATAATTATTTAAATATGTTCGGAAATGTAAACAGTTTCGCATCCAGATTTAACTCCACCCAGGGATTGTACGTTTGCATTCATTAGCTATGTCTTTATAATAAATAAAAAAACGAATTTTCAGAAATCAGTTTAGATTTCTGAAAATTCGTTTTTTTCGGTATGAAAAACAGATGGTAGGTTAAACATGGTTTGACCCTTAGAATAACAACGCATAGAAACCTAGTCCGCACACGCTAAGTGAGGCAAATTGAAGCGCGCCCAATGGGCCTACACGAGCGGGCGGGCCTTCAGTGCTCAAGGTCAACTTGCACCGCGAACAGATCAAGAATTTTAGCTAAAAATGACGAAATGTGCGGTAAATGAGTGTAAAAATACGTCAGACAAACATAAAATAGATACTAACATCACATTCCACAAGGAAGTAACGCGTTTCAACTTGTATTTTTATATAAATATTCACTAAAACCGAAAATTAACCTACTACTAAAACTGAATTTGATTTTTGCCTCTCTTGTGACAGTTCGTTTGATATGAAACTATCATTCTATGCGTTATTATTCTAAGGTTTGACCAAACAAACTTCCGCTAAAAGATTATGTAATAATAATTCTAATAACAGTTTTTCGAACAAACGATACTTTTCTGCAAGATATTTCTGTGTTACATACCGAAACAGTCATCACACTAATGAAAAAAGTCGAACCGTATTCGGAATAATGAAATTCGGTAAAAATAAATTAGTGTTTGTCATACGTACCTAGGTACCTAACCTAAAAGTTATTATTACCGAGCTGTAACTTAACAGTACATTTCTGCACATTGTTGCGTACTTCGGAAGTAATTAAAGATGTCGTAATAATTAAATAGGTAGGTGTATGATGGAGCCACTTATTCTGCACAAGATAGGTACTCCTACAATAATTAGGGATAATAATTTCTTACGAAGAATAATAAGGTAGTAGGCATTTAACTTGTACGTGACTTGACTTTCACAATGTCTTTTTGTTGCGGTAGACAATTTAATTGCACATTGTTTTAACTTTAGCACGACTGCAGCAGTTCTCGAAAATTCGCGGTCTTTATAATTTGTCAGAAGGTCGTCATCGTCATTGACAATTATTACACCTACTAAGAAACTATTATTGCAATTATTTTATTGTTTCTTTTGTGATCTTTATAGTGGGTTAATACTATTATGTTGCATTATTTTGTCCCATTGTGGAAATATATTTTGACTAAAGTCATCGAAGTCAGGATTCCCCTAGTCAACGACATTTCGAAGCCGTTTGATTGCCTCCAAACTACGTCGGACTTCGTTAGCCATCTTAGAATAGTGAATTTTAATCGGGTGCTTTTATATACTGAGTTTATAAGATTGTAAAACATAAAATTCAATCAATAAGATTTAAGGTCGTAAGACCTAAAATTAATGTTGTTCTTTGCGGTTATCAAAATTATATCTACAGTGGTACTGACAAATTCTAACCCAACTATTAGTATAGTGTTGCTAAATATTCAGCAATGCTTAGCGTAATATACAGGGTTATTTATAAAAATATTAACAACCTCACAGAACTACATTACTAATATCATCAGCAACAACAACAACTTTTGTTTCATGATTTTTTACAAAACAACAAACGTACCAACAATAAAATTTAAGTTTCTGTTGTACTATCTGGCAGTTTTTAGACCTATATTTGATGGTAAACGACAAAGTGGCTGCCTTGAATCGACAAATTACACAGCCAGACGCAACAGTCGTTCAACGATAAAACAAACATCACGACACAGTCACGACTGATAGTCGCGATATGGGAACAGGCTAAATACGACAGTCGTCCAACGATAAATAAAACGTTACGACGTAATGGGAACGCGCTCTAAGTTGTTTATCAACGCCTCCCGCGGGCAGTCTTTCAAACAACGTAATAATTTTGGTGGTGGGTGCTTTCTTTTGTTACCGCACAGAGTTATATTTAATAATAAAAGAGTTATGTTAGCATTTATAGCGGTCTATTTAAATATTTATCTTTTTCTACGAAAGTAAAATTTGTTACATTATTAAAAATCATAAAACAAAAATTGTTGTTTGTGATGTTAGTGTTATCACTCTGCGAGGCTGTTAGTATTTTACAAGTAACCCTCTGTAGTATAGGTAGTGTAGGGTTACTATTTTTTTAAGGCGAAACACGAAATAGCGTCACGTTTATTATATTCGACATGATGTGCAGTTTTGAAAAGAAAAGAATATTGATAATGAAAAAAACAATACCTCCTAAACCAAATTTCGCGTGTTCTGAGTTTTTTACTGAACGTAAATTTGTTTCTTAAAAGATTTTGATAATCACCTACCCTTTCACATGCCTGAAAATTTTAATTGAATTAAAACAGTAAAAAAACATTAGTAAATATAGTAGGGAGTAGGTATACGTTTTTTTTACATTCCTATTCAACCATATTTCGAGAACGAGATAGTCAGTAAGGTATAATATATAGTCTAATATAATGTATAGTCAGTATAATATAGTCATTATAACTTTCGCTATAGTAGGTGTCAGTTTCGACTAGTGAGGCCAGCGGGCTCTGGACAGGGACTTCGAAGCCTGCATTGCACGCCCTCACTCGTCTGGGGGGCGGGTCGGAGGACAACCGACTCGCCTCTCCATTAGCGCGGGAGCCCTGGCGCCAGCTAGGGCGTCGTGGTGAATGTTCATCGATACCATGGCGCCGACTCAACCGGCGAGAGGGAAACCCGGGGGGGGGGGGGGAAGTGGGGTAGGCCCTCCAGTCTGGAGGGAGAGTCCCCACATAACCCCTGAGCACAGAACAAATAACGAGAACGGACACTCTCCACCCTTCCCTAGCTTTAGATACCGCACCACGCCCCGCACATTGACGGTCACATTGACTGAGCGAGAACAAGGCTGTCGACGAGCCGTTTTCGCTTTTGATATTTGAAAAGTTTTCATTTACTAATTACGATATTTGTAGGTTATTAAATAACATCATTTTACGTTACTATTTATAATGGTCGCGAATTGTGCTGTGTACGGCTGTTTATAATTATCTAAACGGGTAAAGACAGGAGTTTCTTTCGTTTTTTGAAAGATGAAACGAAGTAAGTAAAAAAACTTTGTCTGAGACTGTGTGTTTTCTTTAGTACAGAGTAATATATAATACAGATTTATTATACCAAAATAATTAGACGCCATAACTTCGTGAGCTAGATCAGGATTCTCGAATTTTCTATTTGTATTGCCGTTAAATATTACGTAGTGAATGTACCTAATTATCAACTAGGTAATGATAAACTTGGACACGCAATTTCAAATACTTTGGTTACTTTATTTAAAGTTACCTGTCCAAAATATAACAATTTTAAGTGCTTTTAACATATTTTTTAAATAAATCTTCAATTGAGTTCTTAGGTTTTCGCGATTGTTATACATAGGAATGAAACTATTTTTCCGGATTTATATCGCGTATATTTGTTTTTTCAAACAAACCGACGTTTCGGGCCCTTTACAGGTCCCATGGTCACGGTTGACTGAAATATTTCGCGTAATGAAATAATCGCGTATATTTGTTTGAAAAAACAAATATACGCGATATAAATCCGGAAAAATAGTTTCATTCCTATAAATCTTCAATATTATTCTAGTTAATTAATTAATGAAAAATATAATATTGTATCGATATTTATTTATTAGGATTCTATAATAGAATTAAAGATGACAGATTAGCGTTAGAATTTTTGCTATGTTGCCGCTCTGATCACGTAACGTAATAGTACGAGCATGGACCAATAACTGGTCCATGGTACGAGGAAGTGGTGGGTAACCCTGCCACTTCACGCACACATTTGCGCGTGTGCACGCACGCCTTGGCGTATGTAGTAGTAGTAGGTAAATAATTTTCGATCGTTGTATGGAGTGTCCGGGGTGTGCCCTGGGCCTCCCTGGGCTCTGAGGTATCTATAAAGATTTTCCCCAGTCAAAAAACGGCGTCAGTTTCGACAAAATGTTTTTGAAAATTAAAACATGAGGTTATTGGGGTTAAATACCTACATAGTTGCGTGTAATATTAAATTCTAGGGAGAGGGCACTGAGACAAAAAGTGAAGGAATAGGGCATTTCATGTCTTTAGCAAATACTGTAATCTATGTGTATTTTTATAGGATTTAAATCTTCAGTAAAACATTTCTTATTAGCAAATGGGTGTAAATGTGATCATCACCACCACAAGAATGAAGTCATGAATTCCATATTACAAGAAAATCTTATTGTGTGAGTAACGCTTGAAATACGTAAAATATCCGTATACCTAATTCCTATAATAGATGTATGTACACCAACTTCCGTGTTTTAACGTTTAATCACGAGTAAATTATCATAGTATGATAAGGGTAGATAATGTTATTGTTGTTAAAATTATTCGTGAATTTGTCTGCTGTGTGTAGTAAATGGATCAATCACCTATGTTACTTGTGATTGACATATCATTAAGCAAAACTGTACAGACTTATACATCTTAATACTTTACTGCTCACCAAAATAATTTTTAATCTTCTATAATCGATGATTCCGCCAATGTCAAGTAAAAATGACTATGTATGTACAATAGTTTTGTAAAAATTATATAAAAACTAGAGGAAAGGTGCATGAGATGATCCTTGGAGGATCCTTGGATGATCCTCGTCTTGGACACCCCGGTGTCCAAGACGAGCCTTTAATAAGGTTTTAAAAATATTGAAATATAATAATGAAAGATCAAAAAATAAAACGTTTTTAGTAAGACAACACGTGAATAGATAAATTTTCTATCGTTCAATGCTTTTACATTTTTAAGCTGAACATCTTTTAATCTACCACCATTCTCCCTTAAGGGGATCATCTGGTACACCTTTCCGCTATGACGGATGACGCCACTAGCTAGACCTTAATTTTATCAAGATTTTATTTGACCAAGATTTTAATTATGAAAAGATTTTTCTACTATATTTAGTCACGATCTTGTCTGTCCACAATACTAATAAATTGTTCCTATTAAACTACCAACCAGGAAAGAAGTATTTTTCAATGAATTTTGCTATCTGCTCAAAGTCGATTACTGATTTGAGTCGTTCATATGGATTACTGCGTGAGAATTTTATCAATATGTATGCCCTAAATCAAAGCTAGCATCAGTATGATACTGCGATAATTCAGTTATTTTGACGTTTGGAATAAAATATTATTATATATAATAAGAAGCACGGTCTGTATTATTAAATTTCAAATGTGTAATTAGGACGTTTTTAATTGATAGTTAATCATATACTAAATAAATTAACCGATAATCACATAGCAGAAACAATCACTGATTTGCTTTTAGATATTTTATACCAGTTGTAAACTTTCAAATATTATAGATTTTGATGATCTTTTCTTTAAGCATTGTAAATCGAATTATGTAAATTGATTGAGTTAAAAAAAGAAATATGGTTAAACATAATATGAATTATCTACGATAAATTACACTTAGCTTAAATGATTTTCATTTTATGAATATTTCTATCTACCACTACAACAGAAGTATTTCTTATTTATCATGGGTATAAGTACTTTAGCTTAGTATAAATTTACGCAAAGATGATGTTTTTAACAATACCAGGGTTCCTGACCGAGAATCGAGTTCAATCACCTTTGGGCTAATGTCGTCAACATGGACGAGTTGTTTCTGCAAAAATGCATTTTATGTATACAAGAAATATCTATTTTGATTTATGTTAAAGTTTTCACATTATACAATGCAGAAATAAAATACAGTCATGGATTTTATTTGCTAAGTACCGCCTTCAATATTAGATATTAGGGCAATAATATCAGACATTAGATGTATAAAACTGACCAACTTTCAGAAATATTTTTCATGATTTTTGTTTTTATTTTAGGCAGTTATTTTTACGTTAGGCAGAACAAAGTGTAAGAGGAATACCGAACACTTATGAGCTGCCAAAACACAGGCTTCAAAGTTCTTCCAAGAAATCTAAAAGGATGTTAAGAGGTTTAAATATGAATCATTGCTTTTATCGCGAATTCGCGGGATTGAATACTTGGGATGGAATACTTTCCATAAATAGTAGGTACTTACTTCTTATGTATGTAATTATCTTGTTTAGGTAAAAAGTTATTTGAAAAATTTTATTAGTAATTGCAAGTATTTGTTACACGAATCTATAGACCAAGGAAAAGTTTTATGCACTGGTTTATTCTACAAACTTTAAAGTTTTGACCGCAGATACAAACTGTTAACTAATTGCGAAATAGCAAATACCTATATAACAACTTAGAAATCAATAGTAGTTACTACTAGTAGAAATAAGAAAGAATCTCCAATTCAACGTCTGTCACACACATCGCGTGAGGCAAATAAAATAACTGTTTTCACCGTTCACTTTCACGAACCGTTATAGGAAACTCACCGTTAAACCATTAACTACACTTAGACTACTTATTAGATAAAATTATTTAATTAATATCGAGCCGTGCGTACGGAGTGAGCCTAAGCGCACGCGCATCTGAGCGACGATGATGTGAAGCGATGTCTTCAAACGTCACTGATGGTTGCAAACTGGTGGGTTGACTTACACCGAAGTTTCGTGGCGAATGTAGGTGAATATAATTTTTTTTATGATATCAAGCGACAGGCCTGTCCATAGCATTTGCAGTGCCAGTCAGAGCTTTAAATTGCAAGGATCTGAGAGGCACTGGCCCTGTACCCGTCATCCTGAAACATAATTTGACAAATACCATGGGCCTGTCAATTCACCAGCAGGTACCCTTATCCTTTAAAACCGGAACGCTATAATACTCTCATTACTGTTTGGTGGCAGAAATAGATAAAGTGGCAGTACTTCCCAGGACGAACTATTTCACAAGGAGCTCTACGACTACATAATACTAAACTAAATAAAAGCCTATGTTTGTAAACACGGTAATAATTATTTCCTTTTGTTCTACTCAATTATACACAATAAACGAAAATATGAAGGTGGGCAATTTCAGGAAAATCCTAATAGAATTAAATATGGAGGATAGTACGCTTAAGCCAAGTCAAATGGTCGTAATTAAGTAACGATGGTCTTGGTCAAAAAGAATTTGCCAAGAGCACACAGTGATATTACGCCATACTATTAAAAACGAACGTTTGCATGCTCTCTACGGTGTGAAGTAATTCGTCGGTCAGTCTGCGACAGTGACCTCGAAACCCGCACCCTCCTCTACCGTAAGAATCGTAAGATATGTCGAGTTCCGATGGTCTCGACATGTATCAGTTAGTTCAATAAGCGAAATTTTTGTTTCGTCGCGTTAACCTTGGGTGTTATAAAGATTTTTTAATTTCGTTAGTTCCATAAAATAAGTTGAAACTATTTTTTATACCGTGTAAGTGAATTTACTTACGTAGGAGTCATTATACAAATCTAAATGCTTTTCTGCCTACATTATATAAGATAATATTTATCTATATCAGAAAATATCAGGCAGCCACTCCATTCTCCGCACACTGACACTTCCTGGCGGCTGGATTGGTTTGAAAAAGTGCCGTAAAGTGTTATACGATGCCGATGACATGCCTGGCATAGGCGTCGAAAAACTATACATATAAATGTAAATTTTCAGTAGCTCTTGACTAGTGCAAATGAAATTGTATCGTGTTGACAAACGCTTGGTGATGTGCTTCACTCTTCAACGTAAGGGGCGCCTCAAATTACCGCAGCTAGGGCGTGATGCTGCGATGCATTAAAACTAGCAATGCAATATAAACTTCATCTTCTACATTGTAAGGTTACATTTCTCTAAACAAAAAATAAAAAGAAGATGCAGTAAGCGGTGGCGGAAGGCGACGAGCTGCGCCGGGCGCACTTTATACAATGCGATCAAATCGTTCCACAATTAAATTCAGCCAAATTTTTAGGTATCAAGCTAGAATCCAGAATCTCCGGTAGCCCTCATTTCGATCATGTAGCATCTAAATGTGAAAAAAATACTAACATTCTGCGGTCCCTTTCAGGAGTGTTGTGTCCTCTCATCCATACTCCCAAAAACTTTTATATAATGCTATAGTTCGCAGCCTCTCGCAGCCTTAATGGCCTCCTCTGAATATTCGCAGACAGTTTCTTCCGGACAGATTTTTTTTTAAATGCTTCAAAATTCAAACCACCCCATTCTTCGTAAAATAAATTTTCTCTTAGACTTATTCGATTCTCGCAACATGGACAATAAACCCTGCTTCCTTCAGAGCTTTATTAAATTCACCCAACTCCCTCCCCACTCAATCAGTTTCCTCGCAATCATCTTTATTGTACTTCCTATGAAGCCCTTGTTTTCCAGCCCAACATTTTCTTTCACTTTGACATAGAGAAGGAATTCGTTGACACTCGAGGGATTTTTAACCATAGGATCGCTTCCGACTATTCCGGGTGGCGCTGCATATTTACTGATCAAAGCTTTCTGCACTAAGTTCCGTAGGAGCAGCAGTATGGATCCCTTTTGCTAAGATAAGTTTAAGCTTCAGATGCTCATCCTACTCTTCTGTATTCACTGGTGAAGCAACCGCCTTATTGGAAGCAGTTCTCTATGTCGAGTCTCATAAACTCAATTATTCCATCATCTTTACTGATTCCAAAAGTTGCCTTAAATTCATCCTGTCAAATCCTCATTTCACTTTCAATTTACACTCCTTCCGGTTCCCAGTTATACTTAAAATTAAACAAGTCCTTTTAGACTGTCACAAGCAAGGTGTAAACGTGGCGATAGCTTGGATACCTTAACATGTTGGAATCCTAGGCAATGGGACGGTAATTCCTGTGCCAAATTGGCTTCCTGTATAGGTTCGACTGAACCAATTTGTACTCCCATGACCTTTGCCTACTCCCAAATCCCTTCTTCGTGATCGTTGGTCGAAGTATTGGGAGATATCCCAAAAAGAAAAGGGCATATATTTTGCGGACATCCAACCCCAAATTCCTACAACACCATGGCTTTTCAAATTCCGTACAGCAGATAAAAAACTACGTCAACAATATGCCGGCTTCGTATATATGTCACGCGTGTACTCCTATTCATTTGGCTAAACTTAGGATAAAGGATAACTTGTTGTGTGAATACAGTTTAGACGTTTAGACGAAGAAAACGTGGACCATATATTCTTTGACTGCCCTAAATTACGGTGCTCCCCACGAGTATTTATGTGGTCTGTGGTGTTCCTTATATGAATGACATCCTCCCTAACTCTATCCCTCGTCCTACTTCCTTTAAATGCCTTTTGGTCCTATCCTCTCACCCAAAAATGTATCATATACTTTTTAAGTTCATGCATATAAATCATATTAAACTGTAAATATTATTCATTCACTAGCACTATATTTTATATACATACATGTTTCTAACGACTTGTGTTGTCTAATTTGTGCCGTCTCCATTGACTTTTTATATTGTAAGTCAATGGCCGTCTCCTTTGTTTTACAATTCAATTTGAGCATAAATCTCTTCGATTTAGGAATGGGCGTTACAAAGTTACAAATCGTACATAGTTATTGAAACTATATATTGTGGCAATATCGAATATCCGATATAGTGTATCTTAGAAACTATATATCGATATTGTTCCGCATCGCGTACTTTATAGCGATGCCGAATCAAGCCGAGCGATTACCGGGTGGATCCAACACGAAATCATGTATTTTCTAAACTATATACCGATATTGCTTCGTATCAGATATTCACTGAGTGGATATCAACGCAAAACCATTTTTTGTGCGTCTTCGAAACTGTATACTAGAATAACATTGGCCCGCATTGCTCTTGTAAAACTATATCCGATAATATATAGTTTCGAAATCTGATTCCGAATACCAGTAACGGCAATGTATCAACGCAGCGCGCACGCGGCCTGTATCCATGAATATATAGTTTCAGATTCAGAAAATATGTAGTTTCGAAATACGATTTCGAATATTGATGTATCATTTCGATACGATATTCAGAAAAAACTATATTACCCATTCCTACTTCTATTCTCCCTCTGAGTCACCGAACAAAATTCTAACACTTTATAAGACCATAACATTTTTGAAATTAGAAAACGGATACTGGCCATTCATTAAGAAAAAAAGTATACATTTAGATTTAGTATATGGGTAAAAAGGATGGAAAACAGGTACCTCGAAACTAAATCTATGCATTTCTCCTAAAGGATGGAAAAAAAAAGTCGAAGACATTTCTTGCTTAAGACCGTGGATCTACCAATAAATGGACATCGGGTTCGCGCTAAAAAGTGTCCGCACCTATAGGGCGTTAAAATCGCATACAGAGCGTCAATTGCGCCACAGTTTTCGTTTGTTCGACTGACAGTGCGGTTGTCAATCATGCAGTACCATCTTAGACTTCTTTCCATCCTCTACCATATAATAATAACTTGTTTTTTTTATAAATTTTTATTAAGTTAATTAAAGTAAAGTTGTTTTACAGTTTTACAGTTTTAAGAAAACCTGTTTTTACACAGGATTTTGTATCATATTTTCACTAAACAAATATATTGTGTTATCATAGTTCCCGTTTAAAGGTATTATTTTGTACAGTTTTATAGTACTTAGTTTATATAAATGAATCGTAAATATAAATTACAAAAGCACACAAAACAATAAAATAGCTAACTGTCCTTTTTCTACACATTGCATACGCAAAAGATGGAAAGAGACCCATTACGTCAATTTCAAGAAGCATATATAAACTTCTTAGTCATTTTCAATAGTTCGTACCACATGCGATTGAAGTATTTAGAACAAAGAAGCTATAGAGTCGCTTTGATTTTAATCTTATTTTTAAAATGATTTTTTTATTAAACATTAGCGATAACTAACAAAATATTGTTGTACTCGTTTTATGGCTTGGAATTACCTATCAGAAGTCAGAAAATACATTTGCCCGAAATAACGTTAGCTCGAATTTTCATAATTCATTTACGTAATGTTACTTTAATTTTGTCTTTGTTAAAAGCATCAAAATTACTCGAAAGCGTAACGGTTTTATTATAAATCGGTTTTCCGAATTACGTATATTTGAGTTTACATTTAGTTGTGTCGGTACATTTCTTATAGTACACGCTTATTTTCAAATTTGTAGTAATATTTGTATGTATGTCCAACTGCCCAACTCTTTAAGTGAATTAGTACAAAATTCGCCACAGTAATATATATAAAAATTAATTAATATTTACCATAAATTTTCAGTCGAAGCTAAATATGGTGCATTTTGTTAAGTTTCCAGTAGTAATTGAATATGGTGTTTTTGGGCCCTTAAATTGTTGCAAGCAAAATTAGGCAGTGCTACTATGATATTACAATTTAAAATCAATGTTTAAGTTTTTATATTTCGTAACATGTCACATTTGTATAGGTTAACTTCGGACAGTTTTCTGTGGTTTTTGTATTCGACCCGACGTCCATTTGTTGGTAGGTCTCATATTATGTTCTACGTTTAGAAATATCTTTTAAAGTTTTATTTAGCGTGAATTCTAAAATAAACTTGTAGATAGCTAAAAGCCACATATAGAACAACGAGATTTAAAATGATTCTACAACTGCGAAAAAAAGCCTTTTTAATGGCTCCATCGTTTTCATTGAGTAACTTCAACATTTGACAGGTGTGAACGTCAAAAGTAGGAAAAGGTAGTGGTTCGTTCCGTGGCTTAGTTGGTATACCGTATAATACAAAGATCGAACACTCAGAAAAAATTCCTTTGATCCGGTCGAATTCGAACCGACGTCTTCTTGCATACCGTGGCAAACGTATTGGGAATTTATTCAGAAAAATAAGATTTTTTAGAATAGAAATTTTTCCGTGATCCTACGCTAATGATTTGCGTAAAATTCGGTAGCAGCCAATTGTCAGTGTTCCAAGCCACTATAAACTGGTAAGAAAAAGTTTAAGTCAAACTGACCCAAAGTCAAACTGTCAAACGGCAATTGAAAATGGCTGTCATTAACCCGACGTAAACAGAAAAAAGAAAATAAATATTTTAATTAATTTAGTGATGAGCAGCCGTAATCCTAACACGCTCATGAGCGTGCCGGACGAGCAATTCGATTATTTGTTCAAAATCGTTTTAATCGGTGACTGTGGGACCGGTAAAACATGTATAGTGCAAAGGCTCAAATCGGGAAATTTCATAGAAAGACACGGAAACACGATTGGCGTAGACTTTTCAATGAAAACGCTCATCGTTGATGGAAAAAAGGTCAAGGTCAGTGCGTTTAATCTAATATGTGTTGTTGTGCTGCAGTTTTGGTGCATTTGTAACAACATTTTGTGTATAATTCTAGCTTCAGATATGGGATACTGCTGGACAAGAAAGATTCAGAACGATTACTCAGAGTTACTATCGCTCGGCAAACGGAGTTATTATAGGTACGCCCACAAACTTTATCTTTGTAATAATTGTACAGTTTATTTTTGTATCACTCGAGAATCACACATGGTCATTCTAGTAATTAATGTTCAGACCTAAGTGACTTTAATTATTATGCGATTTAAGGAAACTGCATTACAAGCAAAAATGAAACTTGTGTTAATATTTTACTTGGCTAATATTGAAATATATACTTCGTAATTTGTGCTGGAAAAAAGTTGAAGTTACTAATTATCCTTATTATATAATTTGCATATAAAGCTTAATATAGTATATATTTTAAAATTTAATATTTCAGTGTATGACATTACAAAACGGTCAACATTTTTGTCCCTTCAAAAATGGATTGAAGAAGTAAGACGGTATACATCGTCAAATGTCATAGTATCATTGATTGGAAACAAATGTGACTTAACAGAACAGCGAGAAGTTGAGCCTGATGAACCAAAGTCCTTTTGCCGTTATATACCTGAGATCATGTTTGTACTAGAGACTTCTGCTAAAGACAATACGAATATAGAAGACACATTCCGCAGTTTGGCTACAGAATTAAAGGTACTTATTAGTTTAGAAGGATAGAACAAAACAAAGTTGTGAAATTATGGTATGTAAATAAATGTTGGACATGCTTACACTATATTTTACTTATTAAAATTGGATGAGTTTCATTTCAGTCATGTCTTTTCCTCTAGATTAGCTCTAAAGTGACGCTGCTGGTAAAAAAACATTAACCATCTCTGTCATTATAATGTCAATCCTGTCACTTGTCTGTCTGGAATGTGGAATAATAATTGATTTTGTGGATTTATAACTTATTTTGCAGAATAAAAATGTATAATAAAAATATAACTAAATACAGTATAATAATAAAAATGTAAGTAAATAATTTCTAGGATTTTAAGCATTTTGATTACATACATTAATTTCAAGGGTACGTTCAGGGAATGTTTAGGGTATGTTTCTATAATGTCTATGTTGATATTTAAAATAGGTCAAATAAAAAATGTCAAGCCTGACATAACACAAGCATTATACAGTTTCTACTTATATGGTTTATGTCTTTTTGGTTGTTTCTACCTATGATATGTTAAAATAATTATTTTTTGTGGTAAATGTGAGTAAAAAATGTTTTTACTAAAAGCAACCCTGAGTCTTATATTATTAGGATGGCTTCAGTAAAGGTCTATACAGCCCTTAATTACTGTGACCATTAATTTATTTATTGTGATCATCACATTACAATTCGGTGCCAGGTGCAGTGCCAGGATTCAAGACCTGAAGGATTCTCTTGTCTTTGACTGTTTTGATATCCTCTGATTCTGGCTTGTGCCTTCCCAATATGGGGCAGCATTGAGTGAGGAGGTGCAAAGGAGTTGCATCCCCCCTTTTGGTGAATACTCAAGGCCATCCAGATTTTGATGAGAGATTTCTTGATAGATATGTGTGTTCTTGTGCAGCATAATAAGCTTTGCCAGGCTGTATGTTGTTTGACAATTTCAATCATAGTTTAATGTTTATGATGTTTGCAGCAATGGAGAGCTAACATTATGCCATCAAAGAATGTAATTTAAATTTAATGTAATAATTTTCAGAGGCAACATGACAACAATGAAGGTCCACCAGCAGAACCTGACTCAGTAATTCTCGGTGAAAGCCACACCATAGCCCGGTGTCAACCTTGCCGTTCATCTTAGATTTGACTAGGTAACTTGCCATTAGTTGGTTTCTAAAGTCTCTAAAACAAACAACTATCTTCTTTACCGTGACTGAGTATACAATACGGCCAGTTTCATATGACAATGATTGTAGTCAGGGAGTATTCTTGAAGACACGTTACTAAGAGCCACATCCCACAAGGGATATTCAAGATCCAGAGTCGTATAAAGTATCTACTCCAGAGGTCACACACTGCTGCGGAAACATTCGCGCTACTACCTAAGGCATGGACTGGCTTAGGACTATTTTACGTTTTTCACACGTGAAAAGGGCCTTACACAGCTTTAGAATTAGTTTGAGCGAACGATGTCGTAAACAGTTGTTGAAGACACAATCGATGCATCGCGGTTGGGTTGCGCCAATTCATACGATGCTTAAGTAGCGCTTGGGGTGATATGTACCTTTGTTTCACCACTATGGTGGACCGTAACGTGTATGGATTACTTTACTTACTTACAGTCGCTAATGGAGTTTACTCAGAAGGCATAAAACCAAACCATTTCACCCATGTGATTCAGGTTCAAACCTTAATTTACTTAGCCTAGAGTCAAATGTTAGATACCTCAATCGCTAACTGTATGTAGGGTACTCAATTATTGTTAAAGGAATCTCGAAGGTAGCAGAGTACTTAGTTGTATCTGTGTAACATTCATAAATTGAAATTTATTTATCACAAAGAGCAGAACTACTTTAAAACTTATGTATTTTTTTGTTCAGTATTTATTTCAAGAAAATATTTTGAACTGCCTAAAGTTACACAGTTACCACACAAGTCATAGTGAATAAGTTATTTTTTGTAATCTACACTAGAAGAGCTATTCTTATGAGAGTACCCAAGATATAATTTCATCAATTTCTTAAAGATGAGGACATTGTCTTGGTAGAGCAATTCATACGAAGTGTGTCACACTACAACCAACATTGGATTTATAAATAATTAAGATAAGACCTTTTCGCAACCTTGGCGTGTTAACTTATGAGTCTATATGTATATCTTTGACAGTCGGTCGGAAGGTACCAAATGTACAAAACGATTTTCGCCGAAATATTAATTAGGAAACTTTATTCCGTCGAACTACACATCAAGCTATATAAAGTATTTTTAATGCGATACTGAATTCATGTAAATAGTGTAAACAGTAAATATGTATTGAACACTTAGAAAATAATCCTTCGATTCGGTCGGTTTCTGACCGACTTTTTCTAAGCAAACTGTGTCAGACGCTATGCCAAGTGTTCGATCTTTGTTATTAATAATTATACAAACTAGTGGAGCAATTTCACAAAAAATAATTGAATGTCATGGTAATAAAACATCGTAGCATTAAATAAAAACATGTATCTAATCGTTGAATAATCAAGAAATACCATCCTTGAAGTTGATGTGTTCAGTATTTTTACAAAGCCGAAAATTCCTTGTTAAGAGGCTAAAATAAAACAAAAAATCACTGTACAACGACACACTTTGTGTGGATTGTTATTTAATTAGCTTTAAAATTGTCACTAATGTGTTTAATATAAATATTGTCTCTGTTAACGATAGCTTTAAAGAAATTCAAATTCTTTACGCGACATAAAAGATCGGATAAGACAGAGTTGTTTAGGTTGCCTGAAAGAAAATGTTGTAATGTTTATAAGGTTCGTTTGTCTTTTATTCAGTTCTGTGATTGCAATTATTTATCATTGATTAATCGCATTGCATTGAACAATCTAACTCCATCGTTATATTATGTATAGTTATTCTTCTTTGATAAATAACTAACTTTTTTATGTCTTGGGTGTTAGTTAATTTATATCTTCAACCGACCATAGCTAAGCAACATGAATTCGTGCGTGACAAGCCTTTATAAAATGTAAGCGATGTGGAATGAAGCGTGGTATTTTTCCACTGCATTTTTAGTAATACATTAACAATTAACATTCGATTTGTAGCAACGTATGTAACGTCAAATAGCTTGATGATCAAAGCGTTCAAGAGGGTTTTAAATTCGTCGAAAAATTAAATAGTTACAGGCATTCAGTTTAGTAGCAGTAGATCTCCTGGTGAAAAAGTTCATCCAGGGCAGTATTGCCACCTTACCTATTTCTGCCGCCAAGCAGTAATGCCTGCATTACTGTGTTCCGGTTTTCAAAGGTAAGGGTGCTGGTGAAATTACAAGCACATGAGACTTGTCAACTTATATCTCAGGGCGACGGGCGCCGTGGCAGTGCCCCTCAGATCTTTGCGATTTAAAGCTCTGAGTGGCACTACAACTGTTATGGACCTGTCCATATAACTTAGCACCAGGCGCACAACATGTTCGTCCCGTTACTTAATATTATAAAAAATAATCAGGAGTGATGTGACAAAGAAACGGCAAAGGTAAAGATAATGCAATGGAGCCATATTATATCATTTATTATCTTACTGCAAGCACACACAATACACAATAATAAACAAAGAAAAAATGGATGCTTCAATACACAACAATAAACGAAGAAAAAGAATTCAAAACGTATTAATATAACTATAATTAATATAACGATTGTTCTCCACACCAATAATAGGTATCTGCAGCTGTACTAAGCATAGATGGGTTTATAGCTACTATAATGAAGTATGCTGAATCTATGTTAGATGGGAATTTTGGTAGAGAATGCGGATATTACATATTAATTACTACTTATTATTTATTAAAACTTTGAAAATAAATTATAACTTTTCAGTGATCGCGCATGACCTGACTAATTATTATGGTATATGACATTGAAAATATTAGTTTTTATAACAAACGCCAACCAATTCACATAATATTAACTTATCGGTCTCACCAGTTTAAAAAATGAAGTTATTTCAGGCAACCTTACTTCTGTATAGCGTTGTTGGGTTATTGTCCGAAAAATTTGGAATTAATAAATACATTTATCAAAATATTTTCCGATAAAAGCTGACATGTTGGAAAAAATTCAGAAAAAAATTCAGGAAAAGTTTTTTTTCTGAATAATGTTCTGCAATGACCCAACACTACTTCTGTGTGATCTTATTTTTTATTTTTGGAGGACTACATTAACACTGTCTATTTTTTTTTTTCTACTACGCTAGTCGGTGGTTATCACATCACGCTTATGACGTTAAGGGGCCTTGGATTCGAGTATTCTTTGGTTTTGTTGTTTTTCTTTTTTATGTTCTTGTAATGAAGTGACTTTACTGGAATTGCATTGTACAATCAGGCTGAAATATCTCGCACATGAAACATGTGTACTTGACACAAAATTGTGGAATTGAGAAAACACGATTTTAAAGTTAAAAAAATACTCAATGAAATCAAGGAATATATATTCTCGTTTATAAATGGATAACTAAATATTACGTGTAAATAAAAATAATCATATTATTAACAATAAGATCTCATCTAGTGTTTTTTTGAAATTTTTAAATCGTGTTATTTCAATTCCACAATTTTGAGTTCCATCTAAAAAATATATTTACTCGGGAGTTGACTGTATCCCACATAGTTCATGCTGACAATACCAACGTTTTCCTAGTGGATATGTCGTCGGTGTAAAGGTAAAACTAATTTAATAACCAAATCGACTAATGGAGATAATTAACATTTTATGTTTTAGCTGCAAAGGGATAATGTTATCGTATAGTACTTTTTTCGACATGCTGTTTCATAATCATAATTATTTTCTTATCGTAGAGGTTCTTCTCAATAAAACAAAAATAGAAAGTTTTTCTATTTCGTTCCTTTTCGATCGAAATGGGGCCTAGTGAGTTTAACCTTTTAAACGATGATGTATTAATATAAATATTATGGTCCGGTTGTACTACAATAAATTGGCAGTTAAAAAATCTACCATTAAAGCACAAGTGTGTTTGCATTTGATAAAGTTCATGCTGCTGGTGTTCTGCTTTGCAAAGCGATCATATCATCTATCGTTGGTTTTTGAACATTGTAATCTCGAATTTAATGTGTATTATAATTTTGTGTAACATGTTTAGTAATTTTGTTATGTGGTTGACTAGGGACTAAAGTGAATTTAAACTAGTAGTTTTATTGTAGGCGAGACAATTGTGAGTTAAAAACAATTATTAGATTTTACTACTGTGAAGATTTAACATAGAAATGAGATTCCAGTCAATGATGAAATTTATATATTATAATATCTTTCACTATACATCCAAACAAAACAGAACCAAACAGAACCACGTCCTTTCTCGTCAACTATGTTTTTCGCAATGGCGGCCTCCTGTCAGCGTTGTGTTGATATCGATGATGATGATATCGATTTATTTCTTATTTCGATAAAACTAATTCTTAAGTCACGATTCGCTTACACAATGAATTTAACCAAATTAAAATCTAGCTAAAATGCCGCTTACGATCTAGATAACTTTAGTACTTACTTTCATTTAGTTTTTTGAACAGGTATAACCCTAAATAATCGAGTATTTGGCTAGTACTCGAAATTAAACCTTTTCGGATTTAAATAAAAAAAACCGGTTATAAATTAAAATGAAAAGAGTTTATTAGTCATCTTTAACTTCTTTCTATTGATTTTATTTCACATTTATTAATTTAATATTTGAATATCTAAATAATAGTTTCTAAGTGTACTGTACTTTGTTTGCATGCGTACCTAATTTAAATCTATGCAATTGAAACACAAGATAAACGAATACCACATTGAGACAACTTACTTTATTATTACAACAAAGTGAGTCATGATGCTTGAATGAAAATTGAAAAAATATGATTTACACGTTTCTACAACTACCTAAGAAAATTACTAAATTTATTTTAATATCACTAATTACAGGTTTCTTACCACGGTATGAGTTCGGAACGGTTACACGCTCCATGGTCACGGGTGGGCTGGTTAACCCTTTCCGAAATATTGGGAAAATAAATAGAGCTCGTACCGTGGTCAGAAACCTGTAATTAGTTATATTTTAGTGAAAAACGAATCGAAACGAAATTCTTAAAATCTGTAAAACTTATCGTTTATGCTCTAAGTATATCAGTTTCGATGTTATCATGTAAATAATGTAGATATTATGTACTCTGTACCACCTTTTCGAGACTGATATAAGCCATAATGTATTCCATGTTTTATATTACTTTTAATTTTGTTCTTTTAGTCGTTCTATATAAAGTCCTAATTTATCAATTGACATCTATTTACGGCTATATAGAAGTATATGCACCTATCTGAAATTGGGGAAAAAGTAACACAAACTGCTTTTTTATACAAGACATGTTTGATTTCATGTATTGAACGTAGCCGTGAAAAGAAGTCAGGTGATAAGCAAGGGCATTAAAGTGACATTTTATTGTGGTGGAAGATTGAAAGGAATATAAAAGGTGTCTATATAAATAGGTTTTTGTTTTAGAAAGTAAGGATCGTTTCAAATTGGAAGGCAGACAGCGGTTGAGCGTCGTCGGGCTGAGTAGCACGAACTTTAGGAACAGAATGCAATAAGAACTTCGTTTGTACTAAATGAAGTGATTTTTTTTATAATATCAAGTAACGGGACGATCAAGTTGTGCGCCTGATGGTAAGCTACATGTCTGTCCATAAAAGTTGCAGTGCCACTCAGAGCTTTAAATCGCAGAAATCTGTGGGGCATTGCCACTGCGCCCATCACCATGAGACATAAGTTGACAAGTCCCATGTGCCTACCCTTACCCTTCAAAACCGGTACACAGTAATACTGACATTACTGTTTGGCGGCAGAAATAGGTCAGGTGGCAGTATTTCCCTGGACGAACTCTTTCACAAGGAGCTCTACCGCTACTGAAACCTAAAAACGTTATTTGAATGGAATTAAAGAGAACGCCGCGCTTTGCCACTTGTTGCATCTTATTTTTCGCATACCGTTGAGAAATTAAATTAAACACTGCAAAGCTGTGGCCGCATAAGCTGCCAACGGCAACGTGGCGGGAGATTCGCCGTACTCCTTTATTTCGCATCCAAAGAAATGTATACTTTATGACGAACATAATATTTTCTATATTACATTGCGAAGTGCGCGGCGTCGCTTGCAACGTCTTCGTTTAAATTTTTGGTTTAAAAAAAATTTACCTTATGACGTAGAAGATGTTTATGTTCCATCGGTCGTTTTAATTTTTTATTTGGTCGGATCTAATAGAGGTTTGTGTGATTTACATTTTGGTTTGGAAGTTTATTTCCTGCAAAAGAAGTCACAAAAGCAGCTATTTCAGTAAAATATTATGAACTTAAAATGGGTACGACTCTATTTGTAGAGAAACCCGTAAATACTCGTTTACTAATGAAATTATATTTCAATTTTACAATTAAGTAATCTATCACCACAATGAACATCATTAGTTAAAAATATACACGGTGTTACTAACTCTAAATAGAAATAATTATACTCAAATAACTAATAACTTTAATAATTATTTTTAACATGCTTTTTATCTTTGAAGTAATATGTCTTCTCATTAAGTCGAGTAACTTTGGAGCTGTAGTGTGTGACGTCCAATAGATTGATTATTATGTAATAGATAACCTATTAATGTTACAGTAAATTGTATTTGCAGTAGGAATTACTTAATAATAATAATGATAGTAGGAATGACAATGAATTACCAGAAGACCACACCAATTACCTGATACGTGGAATTTCCTGGTACTATGAATACAGAGCAACCCAATTGACACCAAGTCATTTGCTAGAACCTTCGGACCTATTGAGGAAAGTTCGTTTCCCAAATTGGACATATAGTGTCCATACTGCCGTTCTTATCAAAAACAACGTAATCGACATTTTTATCGAAAGTGAGCTATTAACATATCTGGGGGGTCTACTCTCGATCTCCGTCCGACATCCGTCCGAAACAATTAATGTCAAATGAGTATATTCGATAAAATTAAAAGACAAGTATCAAGTATGAAGCTTCATTCGCATCACGCGTTTTTTCTTTTGTTCAAGTAGTGCTTATTTGATAGTAATTGTTTCGGACGGATGTTGGACGGAGATCGAGAGTAGACCCCCTGGAACCAGCGAAGGGAGATCTACAACTCCCTAATAAAACCGCTTATTAGGGAGTTGTAGATCTCCCTTTTATATATTATTTAGTTACAGTTTTATTGTGATGCAAAATCAGCGTAGCTCAGGCTACACAAGCGCGGTATAGCGGGAAAAGCGGCCCGGGGGCGATACTCCGCAGTACGAATGCGAATGCGTACCGGGGCGTGCCACAAGGCAGTCCCACGCCTAGTTCGCGGCGGGTCAGCGGTGCCAAATCAGCCGGTGTGACACTTATAAGCAACCACGTTTAATTTCTTAGATTTTAAAGAAAGCATCATATAGCTGTCGGATAGTGTTCAAGAAAAAAAATTCTTTTATTAGCGTTACGGAAGCAACGCAAAAGAAATTTCGGTTGAATTCATACTGAAACTTAATAAAAACACACTGAAGAGTTGTAAAAAAATACTCAACTCAATGGAATACTGCTTTGCGCCCGCACCTCACGTTCGCCCCGGGCCCGACTCACGCCTGCTTGCCATAGCGTTTGGCTCCGGCCCGCGCCGCCGCGCCACCCGGTTTGTGTGGAAGGATGCATAAGAACTCAAACATTACAAAAATTCCCGACCCCGGAGCGATCTCGCTACCGCCTCTGTGCGGCCAAAGCAATATTGACATTTTTTGAAGGAAAAAGAACTTTAGGTGCCAATATCTCGAAAGTTACGAAAATGTAAATGCGTTGTTTATGATAAGGAGTGCTGTATAGTCATATCCGCTGGATCATCGACGACCTCGCGTATTGGCATATTTCGCGTTGAATATCATGTATTTACATAGAAGAAGTAGTCATTTTATACATTACACTTTCAGAATGATTAGGTACGCTCGACTACGTTATAAAGTGTACTAAACTTGTACACTTTATAGCGTACGTTGTAATGCAAATTTGGCAGACATGTGATGCAAATTTGGACTTTAAGTGAGTGTCGAATTTTGGCAGATAACACTTGTCGTGTGACCCACCACACGTGTTAACATATTCCCTACGATCACTATGTACATAATAATGTTAAGGTAAACTTTTATTCTATCTCGTAAGTTAAAAACTAAGTAAAGGTGCTCTTTACCGGTTTGGGTGTGTGAAACAAAAAATCGATCGACCATTTTTAGAGAAGACGCTAATAGTAACTTGAATATTTTGATGGCAAAACAATGTAATGTTAATGACTGTAAATGCAATTTATAATATGATATAATTATGTACCTACTTATTATGTAATAAATCTACAGAATTTTTCAGAAATACTTAGGTGTTTTGGATAATTAAACGCTAATATCACAGTATAGTAAGACAAGTAGGGCAACCCGTTCGTCGCATCATTGTAGGGTTGTCAGATTTATTAGTTGCACCTGTAGATTGTAGACGTAACGTCATTACAGTATTCTTCTATTGAAATTACCTTTGTTAAATGCTTATGTATTGATATTTTTATAGCAGAGCAGACCGGATTGGTTTCTTGATTATGTGAGTATGATACTATTGATGTTTATTTTTTTAACACTTAGCAAACGCTACAATTCTATAATGAATCGCGCGTGGGGCTCTATGCGACGTGAGTGCACCGTGAGATTATGTAAATGTGCATGTTCGTACACGGCGTGCACACATACAGGTCGCGCTGCTACATTTGTACAGAGTTATCATATTTGTCTTATTATACTATGCTAATAATGTGGTCTTTTTGAAACAATCTGTACATGAATTAATACAATTATGTACCTATATTGCAATAAATGTTGTAGCATTTTACACGACGTAGAAGGCCTAAGCCTTTATATATTTTAGAAAAAATATTATCCTCGATTAATGGAATCTCTTGCTATTTATTTGTGTATCACGAAATCATGAATCTTATTTTTTCTTTGTTTAATTAGTTAAATCGTTCACTAAGCGAGTTCTATCAGATAAGTAACAAAGGAAAACGTATATTTATTGTTATCATGTTTTTAAAAAATTATCAACACCAGTGCTTATAATCTAGTAAGATAATTTTTAATGTTTTATTTTTACGCACCTTGTTTACGCAATAAAATTTCTTGTTATACAATTCAATGCTTTAATTTCAACTTTAATACAAATACTAAACTAAATAATACATACAGAATTAAAAAACAAATCTGTTAAGATCGACCAAGTTGTCTGTAATCTATCTGTTTCTTCGGTATGCATTCCATTATTATTCTCGCCACGCCCGCAAAGTTTCTGAAGTATTAGAACAATTTTAATATATCTGATGGGCCACTTGTTTCAGCAAATGTGTCTACGACCAAAATGGCCGTTCTTTTACGGATGATTTGAAGCATTGTAACGTATGCATAGAATATGCAAATATATTATTAATTACTATTTTGCTAGAGGCACAACTAATTTTACAAATAAGTTGGTCGATCTGTATATAAATGACTTTAGTAGAATTTCCACATTTATATAGTTAATTTGAAAAAAATAATTAATGGCGAAAATTGTACCCTCCTTGTCATGACTAACGCATTTGCATTTTGGTAATTTTCCGAGATATTGGTACCTAAAGTTTTTTTTTCTTTGAAATATGTCAATTACTCTAATTTTGTTTAACAATAAAACTGACACTAATAAGATATACATATATAAAAATCCGCTTAGGGGGAGTCGTTTCGCTTATTCAATATGGGTAATTCCAAAACAAAAAACTTAGCACCCGTATACTGTTCTTGCAACACCTAACAACTGTGGGAGAGGTAAATGTAGGTATTTATTTATGCTGTCATAATTTGACAAATAATTGGTAGAAACTACGTTTAAATGACACCACTATCAAGAATTTGATAAATATTATTATTACAAATAGTGAATTAGGCGACAAAATTGTAAAAAGTTTGTCAGATCATAAGCAGAAATGGTGACTTAAAGTTTTTACTTTTGACAAACAATTAGTAGAAATAGGAGTTTAAATAGTGACTGAACCTGAAAGACCGAATCTGTTTGTCGAAAGACTGTCTTTCGCATTACTCAATTAGCCGGCAGAATTTCTAAATGCAACCTTTAGTCAAAGTAACGGGTGTTACATGCGCTATGGATTTACCCATATACCAGTATATGTTAATAATTCAAATTCGCTAAAAATGTAGACTACATACGTTAGTTATGTGAAGGAAGGCAGAAATGATGAGAATATAAAAATAATGAATCTAAAAGAAATTAACAGCATGATTCTTCGGATCACTTATTATAATATCCAACTGTTTAGTAACGTAAATGCCAGAAATCCATGCAAACTTGCCAGCTTCGCTTCCCCATCTGCCAAAAACCCTTACCAATTGTCCATTAGGCTTAAAAACTTGTACTCTACAATTGCCCGAATCACCTACTAAAATGAAACCCATGGGATCAACTGCTAATACTTCCGGTTGCCTAAACTGTCCCTTTCTGTGCCCTAACGATCCAAATTCTAGAATTTTTCCTTTATCTTGTTTATTATAGATTTTAACCCTCCTATTCCCACTGTCGAGTACGATGATTCTATCATTGGTCACTGCGACGCTAGTAGGGGCGTTTAGGTCTGTGCACAAGACTTCTTTGGACGTCCAAGGTCCAGGTCCCGCTGAGATCTTCTCGTAAGTTGATACTCCTATTTGTTGAACGAATTTGCCGTCGGTTTGGAGTATCTGCAATAATGAAATTGAAAAAAATATTTTTGATGTACGTAAAATTTTTTTGGACAACGAAAACGTTTATAGTTCCGGGAAAAAAGATAAGATACGTGAAACTATTTGATTTAATGGTAACATATATTTTTTAAATTATTTATTGCTTGCACTTCCATTCATAGTCTTTGATTGGTTGTTCATGTATGAGTTTATTGGTAATAACTAGACAGAACGATTGTATGTTCCATATTGGTACGGGATAGCGAAAAATTAAGTTCACATAAAAGTGCAAATATAGCTATATTATCGGATTGAAAATAAAGTTGTGCCTAAATGTTTCGTACGTATACTCTGCAAGGAGTTACGTGCTAAAAGCTGTTATTTACCTTGATTGTAATATTAAATACTTACTCACGCCTTTACATTCGCATTGGTGTAGGCAGAAGCTATCGATGGCCACTTAGCACGTTTTTTTTTAACTTTTTAAATGATACCAAGTAACGGGACGAGTAAGCCTTGCGCCTGGTGGTAAGCGACACGCCTGTCTGTATCAGTTGCAGTGCCACTCAGAGCTTTAAATCACGAAGATCTGAGGGTCACTACCAGTGCGCCCGTCATCTTCAAAACCGGAACGCAGTAATGTTCACATCACTGCTTGGCGGCAAAAATAGGTAAGTCAGTAAGTAAGTAAGGTGACAGTCCTGATAAACCTCTCTTGCTTGACTTACATACTCACTACGCGATTCAGCCCGTTTAAGAACCCTCTCAATTTGATCTGAGAATATTCTTCATGGACCTTTAATTTATAAAGTATTAACTAAAATTACCTGAACTCTATCATTGCCAGTATCCACAACGTAGAGCAGAAGCTGGGAGTTGTCAGTGGCGATGCCTTCTGGGGAACGTAACATGCCGACTCTACTACCCTTATGGCACATAGACCTTAGGTACTCGTTGTCCTTCGAAAACACATGGATGCAGTGCTTCCATTTGTCTGTAATAATAATTAGATGTTTTTGCTTATAGCAGGAAAAGTTTTGAATTTAAAAATATCCCTTTTGCCAGTAGAACCTGATCCTGTCCCAACTTATATTTAGAAATATTCAGAAACCGTCCATTGTAGGTCTACTTAATCTGTAATAAAATTCCAATATTATTTTAAAATAATAAAAAAAACATTAACGCATTAAATATAAACTAAAACAATTTCACATCCAAAAATCATGGTAAATTTCAAATTTTTTATAAAATTGAAAAAAAATCTGCATATTATATCTGGGCACAAACTCACGACTCACGGAAAGCTTATGCATAACTTACGTCGATCTCATATTGTATTAACTAAGTAAAATTATAATTCGTTTTTTAGTCTCTTTGCTACACTCTGACTGGGTGGTGTACCGTAGTAAACTACTATTACTTACTATTATAATATTTTTTTAATGTACATGTGTAATATAAATAAAGGAAGACATGACGAACGACATAGCTTTAAGGCGGCATAGGTTAAATAAATATATTTTTTTGTGGGTCAAAATAATATTGGAAAAAGTCTTGAGCAAGTACGGCATATAACTCCCAATGTTCGGTACATATCAATGTGTACACAGCACATATAACCAAGATGGTTGATAGGGCGATAGGAAGGTAGAGTTGTAGTACTTGGAAGTCGAAGACATATCGGTTCGATTATTTATTGTTTGATGCGTACTGGTTTTTAGACAAATATTTTGAGTTTCGTTAATAAGTAACGCTTATGGTGATTGATATGAACCAGAACAATTTTTTGTAAAAAACCTTTCTGCAATCTGAAATAGCTGCAAGTACCTGAAAATGTTGTCTCTGAAGACCTGGCCAAAGATTAGTGGAACAAGTATTGCGAATGCTGTGAGTAAAAACAAAACAGAAATTTGCCTACCAGTAACATAAATCTCTCCATTGCTCTTCATGAAAGCAATTTGCACAGGACAAAGCATGTCTTCACAGGTCAGGCGCGCCACAATTTTGGCATGTGTCCGTTCTATGACAAGTACGCAATGCGAGTCCATGCCACAGACGTATAGGTTGTTGTTCCATGGACTGAGGCCTATGCCCGATGGACGAGTGGTCTTACGCCAGACGTAGTGGGGGAGGAAGTTTCGGGATCTGTAATGAAACTTTTAAAATGTAGGTAACTGCCTCCCTGATTGAACGGTTGCATTCTGGACTGCTACGCAGAGGGTCCGGGTTCGATTCCCGAGCCGGGAGAAATATTAGTATGGCCTGCACTTATTTCTCTCATGAATTTGGGTGTACTTTGTGGTTATCTATGTGTGTGTCACATAGATAACCACAACGATACACTGTTTCCTTAGTGCGGGGCAATTAAAAATAATAATAGAAAAAGTAAAAAATACATCGTTTATATTATGGAAATTACCACAACGTAGTCGTGTTCGGCGTAAGTACCTGCGCGATTTTCCTATATAATTTAGTCGTTTTATTTGAATTTAATATCGAGACTTACCTAATCGCGTATAAATATACATATTTCATTTACATCAACGTTTCGGACATGTTGCAACGTCCATGGTCTCGTAGGGACGAGTCTCTGGAAGAGTCTCGAGTCCCTTCCAGATCATAGACGTTGCAACACGGCCGAAATGTCGAAGTACATAAAACACAATTTATGCACGATTAAGTTCCGATATCACAGACCAAATAGTGGTTCCGATATTAAATTCGAATAATGTGTGAAAATCGTGAACGTTTAAATCAATGTAATTTAGTCGTAATTAAAATATAATGTTACTCATATTCTTTTTTGAATATTCATTTCTTCTTTTCAAAAGCGTGGTAAGAGATTTATAGGTAAGTTGGATTTAGTCGAAGCGAAGCTGTAGAGCCGTGAACACCTCTGTAAAGTTACCGGTATTGTACAAGATATATCCCGGCGACCGTGCGATGTAATTGCACGATTTAATTCCGCCTTCCCCATTCCATTATCAGGGGACTGGACGTAGGCTGAGGTTCCACTATGTTGTTTTTGCAAACAGCTATGGAGTGGAATTCCTTCTCTGCAGACTTATTCCCTGAACACTTTAACTTGGGCTTTCAAGTCAAATGCACACTTACTTTTTTATAAAAAAACAATCTAGCAACGTAAGAGTCGTGCGTAACTCACCTATAATGTAAAGAAAGAGTATCTTCACTTTCCAAAGGATTATTTTGCCGTGCCCCTCCAGGCAATGGATCATCTGACTCCGCGTCCAACGGTGAAGCTGCATCCAACTCTATGCGGAAATTCTCTTTGTCGAACACAAAACTTTCTGCGTCCCATTTGGAGACTTCTGTTAAGAGTCGGACTGTGTTTTGGTGCAGGTTCATGAAGGTTGTTACCTGAAGAATTTGACTTTCATGCGAAAAGGAAAACCTGAGGAAACTTTGCGAGTAGTAGAATGTTTGCAAAATTGTTCCAAGTTACAAAGATAATGAAGTCGTCAATTTTCTTAGGATAGGTAACTCAATTCTCGATTATATAGAAAGTACCTATATCTTAAGATATTCCGAGTAGAGGAAACGGAATTTGTTGTATTTTGAGGCTTGCCGTTTTTTTTCTATTATTATTATAAGTAATCGATATGATAACAAAATTTACATGATTCTAAATGTAATTAATAACGTACGAAACGGTTATACCTAATTGATTTCGTCGCAATTATGTATTGTTGAGTATTTAACTATCAATGGATCAATTTCATCGGCTTAGACGTAGGAAATCAACAGTGATTTCTTATTATAAGTATGCGTGATATAACCATGCTATAACAGATACAGATAAGATTAAAATTAGTATTAATGTGTTCACGAGGACCATTACAAAGAGGTATTTAAATGAAACAAAGGAGAAAAAACGTACATAAAAAAATGCGTAAGGACTCCGTAGTACATACAATCACTTTGGCATTTACACCGTATAGTCTTCAGTATAGATTTATTATACAATACTAAATCAATGGTTTTCAGTTTTTTTATATCTATTAAGTTTTTGTTGAATATGACGATGTTTTACTACCAATATACATAGTGTTTTTTTTATGGGACAGTATGGGGAAATCCGAAACCATAGAAGATACACGGAAACAGTCTTAGGATTCATTGTCCTTTTCTGTTAAAACAATTTTGGCACAAATTTTTTGCCAAAAAATGGCAATTTTTGGTCAAGCGTATGTTGTCCATAAAAGTAAACAAAATTTATTAATTTTTTTTTTAGTGCTGATCGATTCAGTTTTATGTAAGGACCATTTCATTGAACGGAACGAAAAAATCGGGATAGAAGAAGTTGGTCAAATTTCATGAACTGTTTTTCATGCAAAATGAATAAAATTGATTACTTTTTTTAATGCTGATAGACACAGCTTCTTATAAGAATGATTTCGTTGTATGAGACGAAAAATATCGGGACAGCAGAAGTTCACCAAATTTAACAAAATGATTTTTCATGCAAAATATTAGTGTATTTTCTATGGTTTCCTATTTCCTCATGCTGCCTCATTAAAAAAAAAACACTTTGTGTATTCAATTATTTTTTGTGAAATTAGTCCACTGGTTTGTAATAATTATTAATATGAAGATTGAACACTAAGAAAATGTCCTTCGATTCAGCTATCAGCATACCGTGCCGATGCTCTCCCCAACTGAGCTATGGAATGAAGCAAGCGAGCAGATCTTAAGAATTTTGCTATATCTTCGTTGCAAATATTTGTTTTTGGTTTTTAACGACTTTTTTGCCGTAGCGTCGTCTGTATAACTTTTACTTTGCCCACGGTCAGTAGCTGGTGGCAACTAACGTTCTACGCTACAACCACAGCTTTGTCGTTTAAAGTGATAGTAAAGTGATGAGTAGGTACTGCAAAATGTCACTGGCGATGCAAAAGAATTTAACTTCGAAGTTGTGTAACCAACACACGGTGTTTTTAGCTGCGATGCAAAGGCGCGTTCGTGAAACGGGCGCTTGCATCGCTACACTTGCGATTTATAGGCGATTGCATCGATTCAAATGAGCAAACTGCATCGATACAAACGCGCCATTGCATCGATGCATTAAATCGCCTATAAATCCCAAGTATAGCGATGCTAGGGCACGTTTGTATCGGTGCAGTCGCGCGTTTGCATCGCTGCTTAAAATCACGCGTGTGTTTATAGGTAGATGATTAGCTACAGCATCGCGTTTGCATTGCGTTGTTAAAGTCGCCGTGTGTAATCGCTCTAAGATTTAACTACTTGTGAGTAGTAGTCTGCAATAATGTACTTAGTAATAAATACTAAGTTAACAAATTATAGCAAAACCTACCTGAACCATTTCATTTGCACTGTTCTTATTTTCCATAGCCCTCTTAGCTACATCCCTCGCTTCTTCTACGGACACCTTCAAACCTAAAGCTGTCATTTCACTGTTCTTTTGTAATGTAGCGGTTTCCTTTAGCAAACCATCTTTGGCTTTCATTATTGCGTTTATTTTCTCATCTGCAGCAATATTTATTTGCTCTGCGATGCGTTCGCAACGATCCTGGGTAAATAGTATTATATGGATATAAGTATGCATATTATTGTTTTCACTGATTTATATTGGATTCGATGCTTACTAAGTTTATTGCAAAGTTATATAAACGTAAATTCTGTAATAAAATAACAATACTATCAATATACAGAGTGTAATCGTTAAGCGTACCAGGCAATTATTCTGTAAATGTAAAAGTTATCAAAAACCTGTAAACTGATATCGAAAATACGTTGCTTAAACAGACTTTACTTAAAACTTAATTATAAATATCCAACATTTTAACGTCAAACGCTCCCATACATTTAATATGACATTGGTAGAGAGAGGCTTTAGGTGAACTACTTTAAGAGGTAACAATATGTTTAGAAATAACGAAACTGCAATAAATCAAGTAACGTGTCTTTAAGTTAAAACAAAAAAGTGGTGTTTATTTTTATTAATATATAATTAATATATAATTTCCAGTAGTGTAAAAACTAGTTTTATTTTAAAAAGTTATTCATGTCGTTTTACTCGTTAGGTAACGTGTTTTCGATATCAGTTTATAGATTATTGATATCTCTTATAATTAAGGAATAATTGCCTACACTCTGTATAGAATTTGTGTTAAAGTCCAAATGAATTTGAAAATAATATTAAGGTTAATAACGAGCCAGAGCGAACAGGATCGCGCGCGGGATAGCCTGCACGCGTAATCGTGCGCGATTGCCTGTTTGAAATTTTTAACGTTCTTCGCGAATGTTGTGTTTTTGTTACAATGGAAAGAGCGTCCGTGTAAACTAATAAGCGCAGGGTAGATCGCGTGAAACTGGCGCGTATTGGAGTGCATGGGTTAATTAGGAATTTCCACTTAAATCAGTAAAATATTAAATATACATATAAGGTATCAAAGTAGTTGTAAGATGTCACTAATATTTTTTTTACTATGTCAAAGCACATAAATGTCAAGAATAGGTACCTTGTAATGTTCAGTTTTGTATTCCAATTTTTTGGTGGCAGACTCCAATTGATTTACAATAGAGCCGATTTGAACCCTCATATCGTCCAAGTGTTGACACCAACACACTTTGCAAAAGTTCTGTAGAGAACATACATGACTGCCATAAGCTTCGTAAAGTTGGCTAAATTATTGCTGAGACTTTAAAGAAAATTCTTAAATGAGACAACTAAAGATATGTGTAAGGTTTATTCATCACGTATCATCAAGTTTATTTTAATAGCCGTAGAGCTCCTTGTGAAAGAGCTCGTCCAGGGAAGTACTGCCACGGTAGCTGTTTCTGCCGCCTAATGTTCACATTACTGCGTTCCGGCTTAGAAGGGTAAGGGTGCTGGTGAAATTACAGGCACATGAAACTTGTCAACTTAAGTCTCAGTGGTAGTGCCCCTCAGATCTTTGCGATTTAAAGGTCTGAGTGGCCTACAACTGTTATGGATAGGCGTGTCGCTTACACCAGGCGCATGATTTGTTCGTCCCGTCACTTGGTATTATATACAAAAAAAACTTTTGTCCTTGAATATTGTAAATAAATACACAAATTAAATACAAAAGAAAATGTTTACAACGCAATAGGTACAGTAAAACTTAGTTATACTGCAGATTTGTATACAAAAAATAGTCCAGTAATAAAACTTACCAATTTACAATGCCGGCAAGAAGTAATATCAGAGCTATCACACATGCTCTGACAAGTGGAGCATCTTACACCGCCAGCGAACAAATCGACACTTGAAACCCCAGCAGCGGGAGTGGTGGGTGGTGTTATACGACTGTGCATGGAGTCTTTAAGGCCCACCAGTGAGAGTAGAGAATCTATGTACAGGTTCGATGGTAACTCTTTAAGGAAGTTCGGACTTAGCACTTGGATTCTTGTGTTGCAGATTGGACAGTGGAATATAGAATTATCTGTAAACATTGCGAATTGTTACATTTGTTTGTGTAAATACAGATTGTGTAGAAGTTAACATATATCAAGAGTATTATTGACTTTCACTGCGTCCGGCCAAACATTTCTTTTTCTTTTTTTTTTAACGCACACACTCATAGCCCCGCACTAGAAAAATCCTGTGTCGCGGGTGTCATGGACTGTCATGGACATAAACTCACGAGACAAATAAATGTAGACCATGCAGATATTTCTCCCGGCCCGGGAATCGAACCCGGAACCTCTGCATGGCAGACCAGCATGGTAACCGTTCGGCCACTGAGGCAGGTTGCACTGACATACAAACATTGAAGGTATATTATGTGTACCTACAATAGAGAAACAGGGACAACATCATATAGACGACCCCGTTGTAATAAGCATTTGGATATTATGCAGATTCGTATGGGAAAATGCGGTTTTCAAAACTCTGGGATTCTTTAAAGTTACAGGAAATTCCATAACATGAAATTTGTAGACCGCTATAGTTTCTTCAATAAACAGACGCTGGTGATGAATGTAAGTAATCCATTAATACTTGGTTGTGATGTTCAGATTCAGATATTACGAATATATTCCTGCGTTCCATAGATTGCGTACTATAGGTTGTTACGTACCAGCAATGTAAACACTAAGACAAGCCATGCAAAAGGTATGTTGACATGACAACATCTTCGGGTTGTGCAGAACTTCCAAACATAGAAAGCATTGGATTAAGTCGTCTAAGTTTCCGGCTGACATCATGCTAAAAAAAGTAAACAGTACAATAAGTAAAAATTCAGTCCCTAAAATCTTGAGTTCGAAACACTCCACCGAGCTTATGACCAAGAAAAAAATATTACTGCGCAAAGATTTCAATGTACTATTTTCGCGATAGTTAAACATAAGAAATGAAACTATTTTTTGGATTCGCGTTTGTTTTTCAAATAAACCAACGTTTCAGGTTCTTTACAGGTCCCATGGTCAAGTACATAGATATCGTTGTTACTGCGTCATTTAATTGGTTTACAGTCAAAAGCACTTCAAATGTGACAGTTTGGACTTTAAACTATACCTCCAACGTTATAGAGGTGAATTTAAATCGTAAATGTGTCAAGCTCGAAGTGATCACAGCGATACAACACTGACGTAGTTAACGAAAAACACTGATACAAATAGATATTAGTAATTTAACAGTGAAATAAGAGAAGAAACTATCAAATATCCTGCATACTTTTTAGGTTTTGTTTCTGTAGTTAAATTCCTCAGATGACTGGGGTTGTCCGGTCGAAAGTTTGGTATTGCATCAGCTTGTGGCAGTTCTGCCGGTATATTGACGATATTCGGGCTGGCTGGCTCAATAACTTCATTTTGACTATTCCACCGTTTCAATGTGAAAAAAGACGGCTTCTTTTTCAATTTTTGTGCCATTGTACATTGAAAATTATATTTGTAAACACAATTGCACTTTACAAAGGAAGCAATAGTACTGATTTCAAGCAATTAATGGAATGTGCGATTTTCAATATACTATCTATTAGATAAACTGATTATAATTATCTATCAATATTATCTACCAACAACATTGCTATGACATTTACTTAAATGCATGTAGTTGCTAGTCGTGTTGTTTCGTAGATACTAATAGTACCTAGGTAAGTAACTTGATTGAAGCTGATACTTAAATTGACGTCAGTTGAAATCATTTTATTGAATTGCGTTAATGACGGATAGTAAAATATTGTTTACAACTACCTCTAGAATTTTAATGTAACGTACGGACGGAAGTTCAAGAAGTCGCTGATTATGGTTTCATATAAAAGTTCGGTTTGTACCACACGCCGACGCAAAATGAGTTGTCTGCCGACTCATGACACCGAACTACGGTCGCACTGTGTGAAATATTTGTGTGGGTAGAGAGAGGGATGAGGGAAACATTCGTTGGCACGTGGTAGTACCTAAAAAAATCTGGATGTTCACTTATAATATATGAAACTGCCCACACTTTAATATTTTCGTATTAAGCGGATGTACTCAGCTTCGGTTCTTTTTCTTTTCCTAACATTATGATAATTCTTTATTGCACAAATAAATGACATTGAAAATTACAACTTACAAAGGATATACAAAAGTGAGCTTATCTCTAGAAGAGATCATTATCTTCTAATGCTTTATAAATGTACACTATGTTTAATGGATCCATTACTCTATATGACACAAACATCCAGTAGAAACGCTTAAAAGCAGTTGAATACCATACGTTCGTCTGGAGCTATAATCGAATTTTAGTCGAACGTAAATTAAGAGACTCAAAAAACGCGACTCACAACTCACAACATTACGCTTGTCTGGCCTCACCCTAAGTAGAGTTGGCCAAGGCACCTGGTTAGACGCGATGATGGCCGCTGCAGTAAATTTTTGGTGACCAAGGGCTGGCCGAAGTAATCCAATTCACCCAAGAGCGCTGGGTGGATTATAAAGTAAAAGTCACAGGCAAAATCTGGACGCAGACGGAAAGTGTTACAGGAGCAAAAGGAGGCCTATATCTAGCAGAGGGTGATACAAGACTTAAATGAATGAATGTAAATAGGGTACGTTAAAATTGTATACGCAAATTAAGTTGCTGTGTTGCTGTAACCTAATAAGTTACACCTATGGAATATCACAAAATCAATTAAAAGGAAACGGTGCAGCATGGACGTGGCCAGAGTGCCCGGTCAACGAAAAAAAATTTCTGTGTCAATCTTTGTTCATAATAAAAAAAAAAACTAGTGGAGTTATTTCATAAAAAATTTCAGTAAATGTATTCAAAAGAAAGTTATTGATTTATATCATATTAATCATCATCAGCGAACTGGCGACTTGTAAATGATTTACTACTTAACGACGACAATTACGTCTTTAACGTCTTTTGGTGCATGAAAGCAGATGTCAATTAAGAAATCGTCTCCTTCATCTAGAAGACGCTACCGCTTACAGTAGATACTATGAAAGTGTGATTCTAAATAACCCACTTCCAAAGATTTGTCTGATCAGTCAAGCCAGTTATTGAAGCTCTAAACAGAATAACGACCTTGTATGATACACACACGAATATATTTTAGTTATGGCAACACGGCCAAGGGTGATATTGTATAATATTTGTCAGAACTCAAGAAATATAGTTCATATAAATTTAATGTGGTTTTTATTTAAGCCAGCGAGCCACATAATTTTTGTTGTTTGTACCTACACAACACAGACCTACCTAAGTTGTAGTAAAGTTCGATTTAGTTTAATTCTCTTTCTATACATTAAAAAAGTTTGTGATCGTCTTTTCCCTTACCGAACAGTTCTATGGACACTTTTTTGTTAACAAAATCTCCTGGTCATCGCCACGTACGGACTCATCGTTTATCAGTCTAAACATTCAACGTCTACCTGTGTTTTTGCCTTTTGATATCACTTATCTGTGTTCTAATTATTTTTGACGTGTGTTGAACACTCAAATTGTGGTATGACAAATGAAATGGAAACCAAATGCCCTAATGACCTGGAGAATAAACTACTTTACCAAATATATCCATATTCCATAAAAAGCTTATGTATTTACAGGGAATCCTTATTCACCGTCGCTTTGCGTGCATTGTCCAATTTATTATGTATAATTTTTATGTCATGGCTTTGAGAAAGTTATTAAAATGTAAAGGGTGGTTATGTTTGGATGCATAAAAATGAATATTTCGAATCAAGATTAGGAATTATTGGCTGGCATGCTGCTAGACGCTTATAATGTTGTATAGACAAACTTTCAATACCTACTTATTATAGCGGTAGTAGAGTTTTATTAGTAGTAGAGCTCCTTGTGAAAGAGTTTGTCCAGGGAAGTACTGCCACCTTACCTATTTCTGCCGCCAAGCAGTAATGTCCGCGTTACTGTGTTCCGGTTTTGAAGGGTAGGTGCTGATGAAATGACAGATACATGAGACTTGTCAACTTATGTCTCAGAGTGACGGGCGCAGTGTCAGTGCCCCTCAGATCTTTGCGACTTAAAGCTCTGAGTGGCACTGCAACTGTTATGGACAGGCGTGTAGCTTACCATCAAGCGCACGACCTGTTCGTCCCGTCACTTGATATTATAAAAAAAATACATTGCATACATTGCTGTATGCAAGCAAATTGCATTAAATTTTTACACGAATTAATTTTTAGAGTAAGTATATTACATTTTGAGTGTCTTAATTATTTGTCAATAAAGAAATAATTATAATAATTTTGCTTTGTATTGACTTTTCACATCAGTGTCAGAATTAATAAAAGAAATTCGGTTTTTAAAATTTAGTTTTTTTAACCGACTTCGAAAAAAAGGGAGGAAGTTCTCAATTCGACTGTTTTTTTTTGTATGTATGTTACGCGATAACTCCGGTATTTGTAAACCGATTTTGATGATTCCTTTTCGTTGGAAAGAGAGTAGGTACCTCCATAGTGGTCCCATTTAATTTTGAAGAAAATCATCCACCTCTAAGGGTGGCTGTCCATGCAGGAGATTCATTTTTATAAATAGCACCTAAATTTTATCATAAGGAGCAATTATTTTAATTGTTGATTTTGCTATTCTCCAATTCAAGGCGTTTTTCTCTCAACATACTTTGAGTAGTGAGAACCGATTTTTATTATCTATATGAGGATATCCGCAAGAAAAGTAGAGTAACCGACATAGCCAAAAGAATGGCAAAACTTAAGTGGCAGTGGGCAGGGCACATTGCTCGCAGAACAGATGGCCGATGGGGCCGAAGAGTTCTCGAGTCGCGACCGCGTACCAGAACAGCAGCGTCGGCAGACCACTCACAGGGTAGACTGATGATCTGGTGAAGGCTGCGGGATAATATATTAAAATTATCATTTCCTAAGTTTAAGACTTACATTTAAAGTATTTTAATTGAAAAGTCATATTACACAATTGAAGAATATGTTTTAGACAAAGAAGCATGGAAAGACAAGAAGAGTCTAGATTCCCCACAATTATGATTCAAAGTGTATTCCATAGCATTTAAGTTTATTTGAAAAGAGCAATCCCTAGAGTTTCTTGCTCGTTCTTCTCAGGGAGGTCAGCGTAATGAACGAGCAGTAGCTAAAAAATGACGTTTTCAAATGTTAATAAAAAAAAAAAATATCTATGGAATGAATGATTATTTGACTTTGAATCCGCTGGATGCAAGCGGCGCAGGACAGGTCATTGTGGCATTCTTTGGGGGAGGCCTACGTCGGTAGTGGACGCATTTTGGCTGAAATGGTGATAGTGATAACATACAATTCACGCTTTCTCGCCTTCCACTTGCTACGATCCCGTAGCACATCTTCCGCCTCATCAACACGCTTGAATACGAAAGTACATCCTCGTCGCTTAAAGGTCCTCTTGACCAATACTTTAATAGCAGTAGACCTCTTTGTGGAAGAATTCGTCTAGGGCAGTACTGCCACACCACCCATTTCTGCTGCCAAAGAGAAATGTGAGCATGTTTAGACGGGTAAGGGTGCTAGTGAAATTACAGGCACATGGAACTTGTCAACTTGTGTCTCGGGGTAACGGGCACAGTGACTTGAAAGTTCTGAATGACACTGCAACTGCATGGAGATATCATAAAAAAACCTAACCTTTCTTTAGGACGTCCCTTGGTTTTGGAAAGTTCGCCTTGCTCGGCTCTGTTTTTTTAATCCAATTTTCCTATATATAGAATTAGAGTACGTATGTACTATCATCTGTATCTGGTGAATTATATTACATTGCTTAGATATTGTTATCTTAGTAAGTTAGATAACAAATCTATTTACGAGTTATGTCTCAAGTATGATGTGATGTCTGTAAGACAAACTAAAAAATCATTAAAGAAACACAAAATGAAAAAGAAACAATCGAAATAAACCTCATCCTATACAAACACAGTCAACCACGAGGTCATATTTCGACCTGCGGCGATGCACTAACGGTACAAACAGGCGTAGGAAATGCAAAGGCTTGCGCCTTTTTTTGTTGTCAAAATTGTTCACAGTGGATCTTCTTCATGGAATTTTAATAAGTACGTAGTACTCAATCATCAGTTGATTCCATAATTTCTTTTACCTACATACCGAAGTAGGCAACCGAAGTACCATACAACAAATAATAAATTTATTTATATCTGGTGAGCACGAGTTTCCTGTCGGTAAAGGATTAAGGCAATCACGCGATGATGCGATGTTATCGTTCGTCGTTGCTGCTTATGTCCGTAATGGCCTACTGTACATGAATTATAAGACAACACAATGTAGTACAACAAGCTATTTTCTAAAGTCCAAGCTTCTTAGTTATTCGAATTTTTCCGAAAACAGGCGAATTTGCGGCGTGTAATAGAACTGTGCAGTGGAAATGTAGGAGTGAAATATTTATCAGTAATCGTATAAATAAACGAAAT